CTGTATCTGTCCCGTGGCATGATCTGCACTGGAAGTGGCAAAGAGAAGAAGTGATTCTGTCTCCAGTAATCTGCAATGCTGTCGAGTTTCACCATGGCCATGTACAGAAGCAGTCCAATGTACTTGTAAAACTCCCCTATGTTCACATCTAACCATTTATATTTCTTTCCCTGTGCCATTTGTTTAGCAGCCTGCTTGTTTGTGTTTTGGCACAGTGTTTGTATGATTTGTACAGGGAAGAAAAGTTTGAAGAGGTCGAGTGGTGTATATGTGGAAGTGGAGCTGAGCTGTGGCCCTGGTGTTCGAGCTGGTTGAAACCTGGAGACAGGGGGAGCGATGTCTGGGTCTTTTTCCGTCTTCCAAGACAGTGGAGCTGGCTGCTGTGTAGGTGGGGGTGCTGGTTGATGCTGGGCGTTACGGGACCTCTTGGCTGGCCGGGTTGGTGATGATGGCTGCTGTGTAGGTGGGGGTGCTGGTTGATGCTGGGCGTTACGGGACCTCTTGGCTGGCCGGGTTGGTGATGATGGTTGCTGTGTAGGTGGGGGTGCTGGTTGATGCTGGGGGGTACGGAACCTCTTGGCTGGCCGGGCTGGTGAGAATGACTGCGGTGTAGGGGCTGGTGGTGACCTGGTGGCAGGCACAGGTGAGGCTGCCTGTGTTACACTGGGCCCTGGTAGCTGTGAATCCTCTCTGAAAAAACACAAAAACATAAAGTTTACATCTCTCTCTCTCTCTCTCTCTCTCTCTCTCTCTCTCTCTCTCTCTCTCTCTCTCTCTCTCTCTCTCTCTCTCTCTCTCTCTCTCTCTCACACACACACACACACACACACACACACACACACACACACACACACACACACACAAACCAATCTCCACCTAACAAGAATGTGGAAGATGTGTGAGGATTTGACTTATTTTAACGTTATTCCAATTTATTACATGTGCTAGCTATCCTGTCCACCCCAAATCACAGCAAATAACACCTGAATGAGATGTGGGAATACTGTCTCTTCCATTTCAAAACTCCACAGAGATTTATAATTTTACATTCAGTATAAATATAGGCCTACTAAACATAAATAAAATTATATGAAAGATCAAGCCACATCTATACAAGTATAAACAATATGATAAAAAAGGTCAATGGCCAAACCATATCGATTCATCACTACAAGAGATAGGCCTAATGTTATTCAAATTGTGAATTGAGGTGAATAAATATTACATTAGTTATCATAAGGAGACCAGCAAGAACAGCCTACAACGTTACTATTTGTAAGTGTACCCCGGTTTTACACAAGAAAATAACTTTTACATAAAGTAAACACTTTGCTAAAGGCACAGTCAATTTGTCAAAGCAGCACAGCGCAGCTTATTTTAGCCAAGATGGTCACCATGCGAACGAGGTTTTTATAAAATAAATACGCTTACCCGTCCTCAACTGGATCTCTTCTGTGATCATAATCCTCATCTTCATCAGAAGAAAATCCATCAGGCTCGGAAACTCGCCTTTCATCCTCGTCGCTGCTATCCAAAATCGCCGCAAGTGCGTCTTTCAATGTCAATGTCTTCGCCATTTTCTCTCCTCGTCTTCTTCTTACTTTTCCTCTTCTTTATATATATTTTTGCCATGTTTTTTTCGCAGACTTTTTCTTTCGCGGACTTTTTTACTCTTTCTCTCTCCATGTCAGCTGGTATTTTCCTCACTGTGAGGAGATGGGAGGGTACTTAGGGATTTCAACCGCATCTATTGGTTGGTTTCACACAAAATGCAGACAGGCAAGCTAGCCCACCAATCACGCACGGTGAATGACCATCTTGTCTTCCCTCTTGCTCTCTGTGTGAGTCACATATGATCTCGCGAGAATAAGGACGTTGAAGCTGAGAATCTGTCGATTACGGCAAAATCAGAACCATTTATGTGTGCTACACAATCGCGGAGATATTAATAGAAACATTGAGTAAACATTGAGTTGACGCGCCCGCGCGTCATCCGACCTCAGGGGGTTAAACCAAAGACAAATCTTTTCATGAACTGAGACATAATGCAGTTGCCACTGAAGGACAAAGAGTGCTATAAACTATTTTAGCCTCAAACTGTGTTTAACATTCCCACAGACAAGTTTAACGTGCATTTGAAAAGGAGATTGTTCAAACATTGTTGTTATGTCAGATATATCATCATCTGAATCCACAGCTGTTTATTGTGTTAACAGGTAGATCAGGTAGCATCTTTATTTGCTTATGAGGAGGGAGAGGCACAGAAAGTATCAGGGTGAACTGAGAAAATACTTTGTTTACCAAGGATTGGGAATTCAGAACAAGTAATTATTCAAAACTGGTTTTATTTGTTTAAATACTGAAAGCAAATGATTTTCATAATGTCATAATGGAGATATAAAGCAACATATTTAGATATAAATTAACAATTATGAGATTAAGACAAAGTGTGTGGTATTTTTGGCTAAATCCCAATTTCAAGAAATCGTCACAATTGGTAAATATAAAGTCGCAATTAAGGAAAATACAATCAAACCTCGTTTGTTTGAATAAATGAATAAATTTGACAAAAATCCAACATCACCATTCTAAAAGCACACATAAGAAATTTCCCGAGGGGACCGTGAGGTTCGGAATTATAGCAAACCATGGTTACGGTAGGCTACATTTTTAAACGGCCCCAGTCACTCAACAGAAATCCCTTATTCCTGTACTTAGCGCTCGCTGAGAGGCTTTGTCTTATTAATACATCCTGACCCGCGGATGCATTTCATGTTCGTCCCGTCACCGGTTTTCAGATTTGCAAACCACGGCTTACGGAGTCACATGACACAGCTTTACACCCCATTGTGACCTCTGGTAGAAGGTGAGATTTTTCAATAAGCTTACAATTAATACCTGAATGTGAGCAAAAAAAAAAAGAAGAAAAAAGATAAACTTTATGTCATAGGCTAAACCATTCAAAACGAACATGAACATTGAATATTGAGGGGGGAAATCTTGGTAAGTGGCCTGCCTGAAGTTTGTTTACATCCACAGACCACAGTATCACACAGTATCATCCAGGTCCATAACCACCATTGACGGAGACACAGTAGCCTATAATAAAGAAAGAATAAGTGATTACATCATTCTATGGGTTGTTTGGATGAATCTGAGTGCTTATTACATGGACAGGACACATTTCACTTATTATGCACAAATCGTTGTTACTTGCTGTATTGATTATTGTAGATGTACTTATCAAATCAAGATCAATGACTTCTGCTTAGATGAAAGACAAAAGACTTGAGTGTAGGCTACACATATTTCACACTCACACTGGCCTTTGTGTGCGTAGATCTTTACAGACATACAGCAGACTATCATCTAGGGCCACTTTGCAGGGATTAGTGATAATTCCCATTTCGTCTAGTGATCCTCTTCCAGTCAGTCAGTAATACCTAGGTCCCGAGGGTTTGGGGCCAATAATCACTTTTATGATGTGCTTCCAAACGCAAGATGGATGACAGACGGGTAGGGCAGGCTACTTACATCTAGCCGTGTGGTAAAATACAGACAGCCTCTTAATCATTTTGAGATGGTTCTCAACAAGTTACTCATTTGGCCCTCATTTGACTACATATGAAAAATAAGACACTTTTGTAATCAGCTTAACTTGAGCTCTCTATACCAAATTCACATACTGTAGGCTATACTATCTGTTCTAAATAGTATATCAGATTAGAATTAGTATGTCCCAAATCATAATATGCTGATATTTTTTTTTAATTGGAATGAGCTCATAGTCTTGTTTGACCTAGAAAAATAACCATCCCAAATAATAAATATAAAAAATAATTATCCTAAATATTAATTTGATAGACATTTAGGCGACAGGTTTGAACTATATTTCTTTATTGTTTTAGGAATAAGTTTGGAATAATTAAGATTTGTGTGTGTGTTTGAAAGAAGTCTCTTATGTTAAACAAGGCTGCATTTATTTGATAGAACATTGTGAAATATTATTACAATTTAAAGAACTATTTTCTTTTTGAATATATTTAGTAAAATATGATCAATTTAATGCATCCTTGCTGAATAAAAATGTCTCTTTGTTAAATCTTACTTACCTCAAACGGTTTTCAACATTAATAATAATATTAAGAAATGTTTCTTAAGCACCAAATCAGCATATTAGAATGTTTGAAGGGTCATGTAACAGTGAAGACTGGAGTAATGATGCTGAGAATTCAGCTTTTAAAATATATTCAGATTGTAAACAGTTCTTTTAAATTGTAATAATCCTTCTAAAGAATATTAGTTTTTACTGTATATTCTATTAAATAAATGCAGCCTTGGTGAACATAAAAGATTTCATTAAAAAAAATTAAACAATCACAATTATTACATATATTCTTACACATGTATAAGAATTTGCGAGGTAGTTTATAATCTGGAATTGCTTATTTTGTATGTGACAATGACAGATTGCTGTAGATTCATTCAGATTAGTAGCCGTAATGATTTATTGTATTCTCATATAATCACTTACAAGTAAATATGACCTTTGACCTGTTCTGTGACATCACATTAACCTTTTGAGTTCCTAACTAACCCCCCCCACAATCGACCAGACCGCACATGGGACACTTGTGTGTAGGGCATCTCTGTAGTCATCCTTCATTCTGGACAGCATCTATCTTTTCACCCTTCAAGATAACAAGTGACATGGAACGAATTAAGTTGAGTCTGAACACATGAAAAAAAGGTCACAACTCTATCAGCTCTTTATTTAATCTTTTCTTCTTAGTGCTATTGACATCCTTTAAAAAATGAACAACAAAAAAAATATTTTTTTTAAAATGTAGATGATGACAGAAATAACATTTAAATTGACAGATATAACAATGAATTTAGTAAGGGATCCACCTCTGAATTCCTTCTTCCATTTATCTCTTTGTCTATCATACATGAGTGGAGAGCCATCATGTAGAGTAAACACACACTCACACACTCACACACTCTCTCACACACACACACACACACACACACACACACACGCATCAGCAAACATACTTCATCTTTCTCAGTACTGAATATACAAATATTATATTATCCTGCTTAATTCCTTAATTCTCAAAAAATCAAGTCCTCAAGTGTTCTTAGCAGGTCATTCTGGCCACTCCAAACTCCAAGGTGACAACGGTTGGCTCATTCTTGGGACCGAACGACCCTGGCAGATCTCCATAACCATTCTCTGTGGCACTGCTGCCCTCTACAGTCCGTTCTCCTCCAGTACTGGCCGGAGGATCCTCCAGAGCCTCCTCTCCAAACACCTCCTCGTCTTCCTCCTGCTGTACTTCCTTCCGACTGAGAAGAGGAGCTCCCAGGATAAGGGACTGAGGCCGGAGAGGGAGACTGCGCTCGGTTGGGGGTGTTTTGGGCTTCAGTGGAGACGTGCTCACCCCGAACTTCTGCAGCTTCTGTGGAAACACAGAGAAACAGGAGAGAATGTGTGATTTCAGATGATTGAAGGAAACAAATAGGGGCTATTGATGGAAGCAATGAGGATAGAGCAATGAAAGGTGTAGGATTACTTATTGACATAACAAAAGCAAAATGAGTCGCTCTAAAATGCAAAGACAACAGCTTTGATGATTTTTGTTCCTTTGGTAGTTGGGGGGTAATTATTTTTATTAGAAAATTATAACAAATTCCTTTATAATAATAATAACATTGTTATTTATATTAAATATTTAATTAATTATTAAAATAATTATATTATTACAGTTGCTGTAATAATTAAACATAATTAAAGTATTACTTTTATAATAATAACATTGTTATTTATATTATATATTATTATTAATATAATATACATTTTTATTATAAGTATTATATTATTATTATTGTTTCAGTAATAATAAATTTAAAATAATTAAATTATTAATACTTTTATACTAATAACATTGTTATTTATATTATATATTATTCATTTTATATATTATTATTAATAAAAATGTGATTTATTTTTATAATTATTATATATTATTATTGTTAAAGCATTATCATTTAATTAAAATAAACAGTACAACACTTAATATATTAAACAATTATTATAATTATAATAATTATTATTATACATTATGATAATAAGTTTATATATAATTCTTAATTCTTCATGAGATCATTTAATGGATTTAGGTTTAATTCATTTTAATATGAATTAAATTGTATGAATTAAACAGCTCATAAGCAAACTTTATCATTAGAAATAACTAAACGTGTAAGTATTATGCAATAATTGAAGACATTTCGCCCTACATAGCACCTTTTTGCCATAAATGGTTCTTTAAAATTGAGTAAAAAACCCTAGGGTTCTAAATAGAGCCTTTTCTTCTAAGAGTGTAGGATGTTAAGACAATTTAACATTGAGATAACTGTACTTCACTCCTTCCCAGCCTCAATTGTATCCCTCAGAGGAAACCTAGTGGTATTGCAACACACAAATCCATGACTACTTCTTTTTTATGGGAAGCGAGCGTTCAAGGCTCAATTTTTATCCAGTAACCAAATTCCTGAGGTGAACTCACAGTCTTCAGGGCTTGCACTGTGGCCTCAAGCTCTCGGTTGCTTTCTTTCAAGGTGAGGACTTGTTTGAGAATGGACTGCCGAGGGTGCATGGAACGGTCATACTGATGGTACATGTTTCTCCAGAACCTGCAAAACAAACCGGTTACTGATTAAACCGTTGCCGAGTCTAAATAAAGGAGGAGTCTTTCATAAAGAGAAGTGGTTAGTCATTTGTACTTGAAGTGGTAGGCTTGGGTGGATGGTTCCAAAACCGGGTGTGATTCTACAAAGCTTGGGCTGTACAGTGGGTTCAAGTAGAGCTGCTTTTCACTCAGCAGGTGAGCCCATAATGAATATGTCCTCTCCTTCAACCTGTAATGACAGACAAATGCATTAAGGGCTTTGAGATGATGGGAAGGAAGGGTATTCAGGTTTGTTTGACTCACTGAAGGTCCTCTCTCTGTCGTTGGCTGTTGCCCAGGAAGTTGCCAAACTGGCAGGAATGGATGTGCTCATGGATCTGAATGAGGAACCACTCACTGAACTCGAAAGCCTGAGGAAACTGTTCAGTCAGCTGCCATACGCACTCCAGGAACTGCGTGAATATGGGCGACACCTCTTTAGGGTCGGTGTACAATTGATCGCACCTGTGGGGAAATGGAAGGCAAGGCTATTTCAGACTCTTCAAGCAACTAGAGTCAAGAACCAAACTGAGAATCATGCTAACCTGTCTGCGAACTTATGTCCAAAGGAAATCCAGTCTTTTTCAATAAGTACCTGAGAACAAGAGGAAGATATATTAGAAGGTGGAAAGAGACGAACGATAATGTCAGCTTGAACACACAAAATCCTCATACCATGAAACCTTTAATGGTGCGATAGTTCGGATCCATCAGTAGAGAGCCTAGAGCGCAGACCTGAGCTGTCCGATCCCATCCATCAGAGCAGTGCACTAGGACACTAGCACCTTCCACAGTCACAGCCTGGTATAACACAAAACATTTATGACAAATCTGCTGAATTCATTACAGTGTGGTTTTCTTGTCGACTAAACGTTAGTAGACAAAAAAAGGCTTAGTCGACCATTATTTTATTAGTCGGTTTGTCACAGGAAAAAAACTCCACAGGAAGTGGCGAAGTCACGCAGTCTGTGAGGGACAGATCGTTAACAGCGGGTCCTTGTGGTAATTACAGTCATTCAGGCAAGAAAATCCAAACGTTCACCTATCATCCATTGACCTTAAATATGGCTTATCATTTGAAACATGTAAGTAGCAGCAACTTTACATGGCTGCTCACTCTAACATTAACCTAGATAAATGTGCGCTATTATTAGGCGCATATTCAAGTGTTCGTGCGGAGCATGGAAGCTAAAGTATTAGCGCGCTTACTGCATGACATGGAAAAAAAACTTAAAACAGGCAACTCCTTCATTTTTGGTCACATAAGAGTAATACATCATTCGAAATTGTAAAGGACAATTACTTTTATTTCGGTAAACTCACAATTACAACAAAATGTAGTGCTTTTGTAAAATAAAGAAAACAAAAAAGGGGCACTTTCTGCCGTTTCTTTCTCTGTGAACTAGATCACGTCACAAAAATGACCCGAAACTCAGGGTACTTGCCTCACAGACATGAGAAATATATCTACAGAAAGCTTGAAATGTCTACTTTTAAACAAATTAAACGTGAGATTAGTCGACAAATGCAATAAATTAACGACTACTAGTCGATTAGAAAAATATTTAGTCAAGGGCAGCCTTAATGAATACTGAAGAACCAGCAGCAAAATACCACATGCAAAGAGTTTTACCTTGGCAAGGAATATTGCTGCATCCATTATGGCTTTGATATGACGCAACCATCCGCTGTTTTCCAGTCCGACTAGGAAATCTGGCATTGAAAGGGAGCGCGTTCCCACCACTATGAGAGACGCAAATAACAGATGTTGACGATCCACAAAATGAGATGAGGATGAACCAAAAATTCATACTTCAGCGTCTCAGACCTTCCAGAAGCTTCTGCAAACTTCCCCTCATCACATGGATGTTCTCAATGCCCACAAACTGGAAGCGGATATTAGAGTAGTTATCTTCATTCTCATAGCCTTTCCCTGCCGCACGATTCGCCAATGCGTTTAACTACACAAAAAACACACAGTACTTAAGGAACCTGTTATGATCAAGGAACTGTCTTGAAGAACACAATAAAACTCCATGACGTTCTACCTTAGGCCGCGTGTCCATCACGTATATATATCGGCTGTTGTGATTGGCCTTGCTGATGGCCTGAAGCATGTGCTCGTCTTCCAAACAGCGAGCGCTGAAGCCAGAGAGAGGCTGACTGCACCGACACACTGCCGCCTGGAGACATGACACAAACAAATAGAAATGTTCACCATTCTGGAGAACAATATAAAAGCAGAGTAAATAAGTTTACAAAGCCAGTGCAGATGCTGGGAAGCCACTGACATACAGCGCTTATTTGCCAGTAAAACTACTGTTTAACTTAATCAGAAGCCTCTATGTGCTGACAAGCCATTACCTGTTTACCATCTCATTCCTCTTATCTAACACAGCAGAAGCAACTAATGGTCATTACAATGTCAACAGAGACTATTTTCATAATGATTAACAAAGGCCTTATATTCTTCATATCAACCACTGGCTTCCTTTTCTCATTAGTAGAGACAGAATAAACCATTCTTACCTTCTTCTCCTGGTAGAAGTATGTAAGAACAGGAAAACGGCCTTTGCTTCTGAACTTGGAGCTTCCGACAATGATGGGTTTACTGGCCGTAATGGGTACGTATAAGTCTCTTGGATATGTCTTACACACCTAAGCACAGAATTTATAGTCAGACACATTTACAATACACAAAAGAAACAATTACCGAATTTTAAACACTGAAGTACCAGTCAAAACTATGGGCACACTTCACTGAATTTATGTTTCTCTTGATCTAAAGACTTATGCTTAAATGCTTAGTTAGTTGTCATACATTAATGTTATAATTTTTTTTTTTAATTTTATATATCCCCAGCATATATAAGAACTCATTCAAAAGTGTTATTTTAGTATTATTTATATACTTAAATCAGTACTTATTAATATTCTGAAATAGCTTTTATTTTTTATATTTCAGTTTAAAGGTGCTCTATGTAACTTTTCTACTAAAATGAATCCTTTTTTTATTGCCTGTGTGTGAAGGGGTTGTAATCACACATTAAAATGATCCACTTGTCGAGTTTTGCTATTACCTCTGAAGGCCAGTATTCCTATTTCTATGTGAAGTCTCCGGGTCGGATTTACCGCGAAATCCAACGGATGTGACGTGCATGCGCGCTCCCGAGCCTCTCTCCTTATATACAGTCTATTGTAGACGGTCAGGGAGTTACGTCCGGTTAAAGGCGCACGTTTTTCGGCTTATATCTCAGTCAATCTTTGATCAATATTCCCAAGAATCTAATCGTTCGTAGTGCTGGACGGGGCCTTTCGAACGAACCCGCCCCCGAGGTCCAACTCGCCCGGCTCCCCGAGTTATAGCCGTTCGAAATCGGGGGTCCCAGCGAACGGCGATCCGGTAGAGGGCATCCCCGAGGCCCGCCACTCTAGCGTTTGGGCAAGGGTTCCCCTGGGACCTCCTCCCCCGAATTTGAGCTCTCTGGGTCTTTGCGTTCCAGAGATACGAGCGATTTTCTTCTGAGATCGTGACGTCACCGGCGTCCGCAATTTTGCAGCGCGCCCGATGGTTTTCTGCTAATATCTCCGCGAAAACACCACCAAAAACTATGGAACTTATATGGTTCTTTTCAGCTCGACTAGATGGTCCCAACGAGCTCGGTGCTCGCCGAATCCGTCAAGTATTCGCCGAGATATTTGCGTAATAGACGGTATTGTCTATGAGTTCGAGCACGAGCGCTCTTGTAAAATTTGGTTGCAATCTGAAACATCACCACTAGAGGCCGCTAAAAGTTACGTAGAGCACCTTTAAGTATAAGTAATTTTGTTTTTGCCTTTGTCATTTTATTAGTTTTGGGGTTTTTGTTATATTTCTGTTTAGCTTTAATTTATTTATTCTTCATTTCAGTTTTGGTTTTTGCAATTTTAGTAAGGTCTCAAGTCTTTTCGTACCATGAATGAATCACTGAATCATTCACTCGAACGATTTGTTAATAAACAGAGCCATTCACGACCAAAGCACATCAGATTCATTCACAAATAAAACACCACTAACTCATATTGGCTTGGCCTGGGGTTTGTTTATCTGACTAAATCCTCGTTTTATTCCAACTACACTACTCTAATACTAGTCTTGAAGGACACTACACTCTATTTTAGGTTGCTTGACAGACTCATGAGAACCAAGTATAGATCAAACACATCCTGAATTAGATTCAACAATGCTGGTTTAAAGAAAGAGAAAGTGACGTTGAGCATGTTTCACAAATGAACCCTCACATCAAACCTTGTACTCCCTGTTAACATCGGTCATTTGCCACTGGTCACATGGCACACCCATCCGTTCAAACTCAGCTGCGAGGTCTATGAGTTGCCACCCCTCCTCTCTCTGTTGGTCATTCTGCTTTGGGTTGTAGGAGAACGCGTACAGCTCATCATAGGACACTGGAGTACAAAACAAAAGATTCAATAACTTTACAAAAGGTGAAAAAGAAAGTCATACTATTCAGGCGACCATCTGGAGTTCGTACTGATGCGCACATGTCCCTGACCTCGAGCATGACCACCATACCTGTCATCCAGTCACTGAACAGAGGGTGGCCCCTCTGTGACTTTCAGGAAACTCTTTGATTTTTCATGAGGGCAGACATGGGAGTTTACCCACCTGGTCTCAGTAGCCTGAGCAGAGAGCTGTAGATGTCATGGCAGTCACGCTCTCTGGGAATCACAAAGTGGACAACCCGGAAGTTCCGGCACTGAATGAGGAGCGGGCAGCCACTGGTTGTGAGCGACAGTTTCTCCACGGAGGCGATGTGATGATGCAGGATCTGAACATTCAAAACACATAAGGTGCGTTCAAGTCATGTCGGAAAGATCGTATTTATGAGTTGAACGCACAACGTCACCACAAAGTCGTAAATATGAGTAGGAAGCTCGGGATTTTCTTTAAGCCCAGAGTTTACGAGTTGAGGTGAGAAATGTGGATACTTAGGTATTTAGAAGTGACATTGTCAGGCTTTTTTATTTACAACAAAGCATGCTAACTGCATGCACAAAATATAACAACATTGTAATATAACAATATATTATGTAAGTGTATAGTGGCTTAATGAATTAATTAAAAACAAAAAAGCAAAACACCTAATGCACATTCTTTGGTCTTCATTTTCTAGAAGTAGAGTATAAAAACCTTGATGTATTTTGGTGTAAATTAATTAAGAGAAGGTACATCGCCATCTTTCTCCAATGAAAGTGTTTTGAACGCACCTGTCGTCGTAAACATGACTTCCCAAATCGTTACAAACTTCCCAGGAGGACTTGAACTTATCAATACATGTAAAATGCATTTACAAAATTCAACTATAGTGAAAGGATTTGGACAGTTAAGCAACATTTAAAAAATTATTAAATGTCATTGCATTAATTACAGCACTTTTCATGTAAAGTAGGAATGTATTGATAATTCTGGCAGATATAATTTTGCCCGATAATTGTTCAAGATATGGCCGAAAACTGATAAAATGCATTCAATATTAAAATTCAATTCTATTTTGTCTAAATAAAAAAAATAAAAATAAAATCCTTTTAAATGCTACAAGTGAATTTAGACATCACATTATAATACACAGTATGAAACATGTACTAAAGACTTAATTAAAAAGTGTAATTACATTTATTACTGTTTTTAAATATTAAAGGAATAGTTCACTTAAAAATAAAAATTCTGTCATCATTTACTCACCCTCAAGTTGTTTCAAACCTGTATGAATTAATTTCTTCTGCTGAACACAAAGGAAGATATTTTGAAGAATGTCAGTAACCAAACAGTTGACGGCACCCTCTGACTTCCATAGTAGGAAAAAAATACAATGGAAGTCAATGGGGTTCATCAACTGTTTGATTACTGACATTCTTAAAAATATCTTTTGTGTTTCATACACGTTTGAAACAACTTGAGGGTGAGTAAATGATGACAGAATTTTCATTTTTAAGTGAACTATTCCTTTAACTTTGAGTGTTAGACGAAGGCAAAGGCAATCTAAATGTAAAAATAGAGTAATGAGCATACACAATTATACAATATTGTTCAATGCCGATCATTTTAAAACGTCCAATATCGGGTGATAATCGGGTGGTTTGGAAGATATGTTGAAATTTCCTTTTTATTCTTCTTCCTCTTCTGCTGTTCCTCTATCTTTAAGACGAATGTAATGTGCATGACAAGGAGAATTCACTACACACGATTACCATATTCAACTAACTACACAGCAGTTCGGAAGGTCAAAATCTGGGTGTTATTAAAATGCGCATGTATCTGCATTTTTATTTGCATCATGACTCAGGGTGCTGTTGTCACTGATCACTGAAGTGTGTTATATAATGCATAATGCATAAGGACCAGAAGGCAGTACTACAAGCAGTCAGAGAGACGTTTTGTCAGAGCTAGTCCTGAGAGTGAAGAAGCTACACGTGAGGATGCAGAATTTATTTCAGTCGGGTTCCAGACTGTCATGTAAACATCTGTTACTCCAACCAGTCAGCTAGTTTTTAGAAAGTCTCAAAAATGTGCTTCTGAGGCCAGATCTCATCTGTTCGTAAACTAATATTAGATCAAGGATGCCCCTGTAAAAAGGGCTAAAACTGCTAGTATAAACAGAAGTCAATATACCTAATTATTATGCATTGCGTAAATAACCCCCCAAATATTGTACTATAGTTTTTTGGTAAACAAGTCTACATTATTCGATAAAAAACAAAACAATAAAAAGGTTACAATTTAAAATGTCTATTTTAATTTTTTTTTTATGTAATTTATTCCCGTGATGGCAAAGCTGAATTTTCAGCATCATTATTCCGGTCTTCAGCATCACACGATTTTTCAGAAATCTTTCTAATGTACTGATTTGGTTCTCAAGAAACATTTCTTATTACCGGTAGTATTTTCATAAACAGTTGTGCTGCTTAATATTTTTGTGGAAACCCTAAAACATTTTTGTAAGAACATAAGAATTTAATGTGTAAAGTATTGATTTATTTGAGAGAAAAAAAAAATCTTACTGACACCACACATGCTGTGTGTTTATATATATTATATACACATTAGTGCTGTCAAATCAATTCATCGCGTCTAACATAAAAGTTTTTGTTTACATAATATATATGTGTGTGTATATATATATATATATATATTAGGGCTGTCAAATGATTAATCGCGATTAATCGCATCCAAAATAAAAGTTTGTGTTTACATAATATATGTGTGTGTAGTGTGTATAATAATTTTATATATATAAATACACACACATGCATGTATATATTTAAGAAATATTTGCATGTATATATTTATACATAATTAATATTATATATAAATATTTTATATATTAATAACACATTTTTCTTAAATATATACATGCATGTGTGTGTATTTATATATACAAAATAATTATACACACTACACACACATATATTATGTAAACACAAACTTTTATTTTGGATGCGATTAATCGCGATTAATCATTTGACAGCCCTAATATATATGTGTGTGTGACAGTGTGTGTATATATATATATATATATACACACACACACACTGTCACACACACACATATACACTCACCGGCCACTTTATTAGGTACACCTGTCCAACTGCTCGTTAACACTTAATTTCTAAGCAGCCAATCACATGGCGGCAACTCAGTGCATTTAGGCATGTAGACATGGTCAAGACAATCTCCTGCAGTTCAAACCGAGCATCAGTATGGGGAAGAAAGGTGATTTGAGTGACTTTGAACGTGGCATGATTGTTGGTGCCAGAAGGGAATAGATGCTCTATTGGGTTGAGATCTGGTGACTGTGGAGGCCATTTTAGTACAGTGAACTCATTGTCATGTTCAAGAAACCAATTTGAAATGATTAGAGCTTTGTGACATGGTGGAAGTAGCCATCAGAGGATGGGTACATGGTGGCCATAAAGGGATGGACATGGTCAGAAACAATGCTCAGGTAGGCCGTGGCATTTAAACGATGCCCAATTGGCACTAAGGGGTCTAAAGTGTGCCAGGAAAACATCCCCCACACCATTACACCACCACCACCAGCCTGCACAGTGGTAACAAGGCATGATGGTTCCATGTTCTCATTCTGTTTACGCCAAATTCTGACTCTAACATCTGAATGTCTCAACAGAAATCGAGGCTCATCAGACCAGGCAACATTTTTCCAGTCTTCAACTGTTCAATTTTGGTGAGCTCTTGCAAATTGTAGCCTCTTTTTCCTATTTGTAGTGGAGATGAGTGGTACCCGGTGGAGTCTTCTGCTGTTGTAGCCCATCCGCCTCAAGGTTGTGCGTGTTGTGGCTTCACAAATGCTTTGCTGCATACCTCGGTTGTAACGAGTGGTTATTTCAGTCACTGTTGCCCTTCTATCAGCTCGAACCAGTCTGGCCATTCTCCTCTGACCTCTAGCATCAACAAGGCATTTCCGCCCACAGAACTGCCGCTCACTGGATGTTTTTTCTTTTTCGGACCATTCTCTGTAAACCCTAGAGATGGTTGTGCGTGAAAATCCCAGTAGATTAGCAGTTTCTGAAATACTCAGACCAGCCCTTCTGGCACCAACAATCATGCCACGTTCAAAGTCACTCAAATCAACTTTCTTCCCCATACTGATGCTTGGTTTGAACTGCAGGAGATTGTCTTGACCATGTCTACATGCCTAAATGCACTGAGTTGCCGCCATGTGATTGGCTGCTTAGAAATTAAGTGTTAACGAGCAGTTGGACAGGTGTACCTAATAAAGTGGCCGGTGAGTGTATATGTGTGTGTGTGAGTGTGTGTGTGTGTGTATATATATAATATATACACACAGACATGCACAAACACAGGCATATATATAATATATATAAATATAATATATACACACATATATTATATAAACAAACAATTACGTCAGGTGTGTATATATATATACACACACATTGTAAAATAAGTTAAGTAAGTAATGCTTCCCTGAACAATTGCTAGGGTATTCTGTGTTAATATGCAGTTACTAGGTTGTTATGGGTGGTTACTTACAGGCCCAAATCAAAAGAACATTCTCAAAGTCTTGCAGGTAATCTATGGGATTGTTTCACAAGTTTTATCATCATCCAGGCAAAAATCGTAAATTCGATCAATTAGATAACTAATAGCATAAAAGCAATAACCCCTCAAGAGTGTATTATAATAATAAACTTTGTTTGTCAGTGTTAGCACCTGCTCCGACCTGCTTCCTCTCCGGAGAAGATGGTGAGATATGGATATTCATCTGCGATACATGCTCACACACTGAGAAAGACAGACCAGTGGACTCAGATGGCTCAGACTCAGTGGCAGATCCCGTCTTGAGCTATGTGGGTCATTGGTATTCATGTCCACTCCTGGCCTCCCCTACACTCTCGTATTCGCTTGGCCTTAAGGGCAAGTTTAGCCGACAGGTTTCCACAGCAACAACGTGAAGAACTAGTAACCTCATTCCCATGATCTAATTCACTATTATCCTGTACACAAAAAGAGTGGCTTAGTTGTACTATATACCCAAGCTAAACCCTGCCGGTCACACAGGAATTCTTTATCACATCATGACAGATCATTTAGAGACGGTTAAGGGTGGCTGTTCATACCCATATCTCCTGGGCACTGGCTGAATTACTCTCCACAAAGATCAGATGAGTGGCAGTCAGATGCAGGGTTCCTGTGACAGACTTGTTGCTAAAGCGATCCAGCAGCTTCACTTGTTCTACCTGTGGAAGAAAGCACCAGTTACAGTTAACTTTTTTAATTCTTTGAGATTAACTGTGAAAGAGTCAAGCCATATATATCTTCCTCCTTGTAAATCATGAGCAATTTAGGCATAATCCAAAAATGAATGGCAGGACCAAGCAGAATCCACTGATGTTTTTCACATTTTCTGCATATTTAATTTTAGGGACAACATGCCAAAATCTGTTAAACTGAGCCACCTTGTAGCTTAAAGTGTAATAATATTATGCACAATAATTCATGAACGAAAACGCAAAGAGTGGGGAATTTGAGTTCATGTGTGTCGCATACATACATCACATCATTTTCAAGCTGATAAACCATCAGTAAAACAGACTAAAGGGTTAAAGGGTTAGTTGACCCAAACATTCTGTCAAGACTTTCTTCGGGAACACAAATAAAGGTTTGAAGCATGAAAGTGGAAGGACATAAAGCTCTCCGATTTCATCAAAAAGATCTTCATTTGTGTTCAGAAGATGAACAAAAGTCTCACGGGTTTGGAACGACATGAGAGTGAGTAATTAATGAAACTAAAGAATTTTCTTGTTTGGGTGAACTACCCCTTTAAATAACTTTGTATTATGTTAACACATCACACTAACTGGCAATCGATATCGGCCTAAATCATATCATAAATGATATTCTACCACGTATTTTGACATACAGTAAGACAGGAAACAGGATTAGAGAATCCATTTAGTAAAAAAAAAAAAAAAAAAAAAAAACGCCTGAGACACTGATCACAGACATCAATAGACATCCATTCATATTATCTAAAACTACTACTGTTTATTACAATTAGATCTGGCTCTGTTTCCCGGCAACTGGCCTGCAGCTAAGCAACACACTTCCTGTGATTGCAATAAAATCTGCAGACATCACAAAACAAACAGCGGGTGAGGTTTTTAAGAGCAATTTGACAAAAGCAACAGTGTAGAAACTTTAAACAGTTGTTTATACAGTAGTTCAGATATCAAAAAGCAAAAATCAGACATATTCTACATGAGTGCGATAAGATTACTTTACAGAGATATATATACAGTATCAGTCAAAAGTTTGGAAACATTGCTATTTTTAACATTTTTGAAAGAAGTCTCTTGTGCTCATCAAGCCTGCATTTATTTAATATTGTAAAACAATTTAAAATAATGTTTTTCAATTTTTAATATACTTTAAAAATATGAATTTATTTCTGTGATGCAAAGCTGAATTTTCAGCATCATTACTCCAGTCTTCCAGAAATAATTCTAATATGCTGATTTATTATTAATGTTGGAAACAGTTGTGCTGCTTAATATGTTTTTTTTAATAACCTGTGATACTTTTTCAGGATTATTTGCTGTACTTTTTAAACTTTTTATTCATCATTTATTTAAAATAGAATCTTTTGTAACAATATACACTACCATTGAATTTTTTTTTTAAAGAAATTAATACTTCTATTCAGCAAGGATGTGTTAAATTGATAAAAAAAAGTGATAGTAAATATATATATATATATATATTTAATCAGACCCCCTCACATGAAGATGGAAAAGGAAAAAGATATAGTTCAGTACACTGACACTAAAGTTACTGTAGTACTAAAGTGATACATTATGTCACAACAACAAAAAAAGACAACAGAGTTAGAAAGAAAGCTCTTTAGGGATCCTTATGTCAGACAACATAAAAATGCAGAATCAGCCTCTAAAAGGCCTAAAGCTTTCAGGACAATCCAGTTCTAAACAGCTTTTGAAATCTGTCAAAATGGCCACATAGGCAAAGAACATCCACATACGGATCACCGGTACTAGATTCAAGTGCATTCGTCTCAAATAAGGCCAGAAGATATAAATGAACAGAAACACTGATGAGAGCCGCGCCGCGGCATATTTATATAGTGAAACCACGTTATAGTTTAAATACATATATAGATACATAAATTCAATGACATTTAAACAAGTGTTTGTGACTTTGAAATCATGACTGATTCTGCCATACCAGGACAGATCTCGCAGAATTCTTGTATTTAGTCAATTCTACCTTTGGTGTGCGGATGTGCTCCATGATGCAGCTGTTTTTCGCCTGGTCAGCACAAGGAATGGATGACAATCTCCAAAATAGCTGCGTTCACACATCGGATGAATGAGGGAAGAATAAGTCCTCTACGTTTGAAGCCACGTTCAAAACATCTCTTCAACTAGCAGCTAACAGTTTCTGCTGCTCTACTCAGCAGCACTTCCTTCATGGGGCGTGTCTGTGTGAAAAACAGACAGATGCATTCTGGGAAATGTAGTTTTCTGACCTCCATGTAAGGTCAATAATTTAGCCTTTACTCTTATCATTAGAGAAAGGTTTTTCAATCTTTTAGATGCCACGTACCCCCAAATATGATCATCCATCCTAAAATTTGATAAGGAACTATATATTTTCATGTATAAATATCTAATTTATACTCTGAAACGTTTGTATTATAAATATTCTTTTCTATTAACTACTAATTTTAGTACTGTTGGATTTATTTGTTTATTTCTTACTTTAATATTTTTTTCTGTAAATGTTTGTTTATTTATTATTTTAATTTATTTTTGTTTATTTTTTTAATTAATTGATTATTTAGCCAGTTAGTTTGTTTAATCTTATTTTATTTGTATTTATTTATTTGTACATTTTTTTTAAATCCCTTTTTTCTCTAAACTTTTCCACTAACCACCTTGGATCCCAGTTTTAAATTCCTTCCTTGCATTACATTTAGAATTCCCTCCATTTGATTTATCCATTCACTTTTTGTATTATTCTTTTTTAAATTCATTTCATTAAAAAGATTAGCGACCCTGTCACAATTTGGGTGAATCGCTGAATCATTCACTCAAATTATTCTTTAACCATCTTTTTTTTCCCTCACCATCAGCAACAAAGCAGATTTAATGTTTCATTAATTTGTATTAGATGCTGTGTATGTTTTAATTGTTTTTTTGCATGTTGTGTTGTGCTATTTGTGTGGTAGGTAATCATAATTATTGCACTAGGTTCATTTGAAAGATTCATTCACGAATGCAACACCACTAAAATATCATCAAGGCTAAAAAGTATTCTGATATTTGCTGAACTAAATAGTGACAATATGCCTGTAAAGGTGGACAGAAAAAAAGCAGAGAAAGTTCATTCAACACATCATCACACTGCATTTAAAAAGCATCTGCATGGACTTTCCAAGCCAGTAGGTGGCAATACAGCGCAGCAAATAATGTTTGAACTCCACCGCAAAGCCAAAGAAACAGAAGAAGAGAGGCGCTTTTGCGCGGAAACACCGAGCAGCAACATTTTCAATATTTAGAAACTCATAACGTTAGTCGTTTTAAAAAACAACAAAGTAGGCCTTTGCCACCTAGTTTAGAGTATTTTATTTATATTTTCTCCATACGCTTCAGAATTTTGTGCTGGTTGCTTTTATTATGCTGCGTATGTCCTAGGTAGTGTGTTTAGGGCCTCCACGAGGTCGGACCCGCTTGATTTGATTGTCAAGTTTTGGGAATTTAAGTCCAAAATGTCCAGCTTTAACTTCGGCACAAGTACCCTCGGGTCCAGCGCCACCGGCGGGGGCTTCTCATTTGGAGCTGCGACCAGGTATGATCATGTCAGCTTTCAACATTGTGCTCAGTTTAAATTAGTTATACTCAACTAACTAGCTATGTGTAGAACATGAACACGTATTAATTGAATTGAATTGGCTGGTCAATTACAAATTACTGATTACAATTCAACCTCACAACTAAGAATTGGTTCCACTGGCGTACAAAAAAGTGTATTTCCTAAATGGTTCCCCAAATGTAATCTTTAAATGTTTAAAATACTAAAGTTATGTAATTGTCAACCTCTATATTTGATGTTAAGCATAATGTCAACTTGAGTTATTTAGCCTGTCTCCTTTTGTGTTCATCAACAATTTAGAAGAATATATAGGCTATAACTTACACACATACACAGTACACACACACACCTCTCTCTCTCTCTCTCTCTCTCTCTCTCTCTCTCTCTCTCTCTCTCTCTCTCTCTCTCTCTCTCAGGTATATATTTAATAATCATTAGATAATAATTGTAATACAAATATTTGAAATGTCTGATATATCCTTTTCCAGCACACCTGCTGCAGGCACGGGTGGATTCACACTCGGAGGAGGTTTTGGCACGCCGTCCTCCGCACCGGCCGCAACTAGTACCACCTCCACACTGGGATTTGGGTCCAGTGTATTTGCACAGAAACCAACAACTGGATTCTCATTTAACACACCTGCCTCAGGTTCCTGGCTACTCTTATGACATAAACACTGATTTACTTAACATTGTTCTAATTTGGTAGCTTAATTATAAATACCATTGTCATGGTTAATTCTTTGTTAATTCACCATCTTTTTAACACTTTTAGGGGCTGCTCCTTCCACTACTGGCCTTACTTTAGGTAAGCAGTTCTTCAAGAACAGAACTAAAAGAGATTTAATCATTTATATATCACTTAACTCCATTGCTTTTTTATATCACTTTATTCCAATGGCTCTCAACCTTTTTGACTTCAATGCTGCCCCCCAAATTGTCAACAGCAATATTATTTTTTTATAAAATATAGTTAATATTTAAAACAAAACAAAAAATATTTGTGTATTTTTTTACTCATTATTTCTAAACTCTTTGTAACTTAAGCATGTTTTATTAGATTGTTAGTTTTAACCCTGTGATAAACCTTTTTTATTCAGTTAACTCTTTTGAAGAAATTTGACATTTAAACCAAATATAGTTTGTTTTTAGCAACAAAAACAAATTTCTCACCATGAAAATAGCCATAGAAGCTGGCATGACGTTAAAAAAACAAATAAACTCACTATTTCTACCTGATACGATTTTGTAGAGCATCGCATACCTAGTAGATACTGGACCTTACAGGAAGTGAGACTGGAATTGCTGATGACTCATTGATGCAGTTTAGAATCGATTCTTTTTTTCTAGGAGACATTAACTTTATTTCTCGTGTACTGAAAAGGGAATTTGTTAACTAAAATATCTCCCTTTGTAGTGGACTTTGAGCTTTGGAACCTTGCAGATCTTTTTTATACTCAAACAGCAACATTACACGCTAACTAAAGTTGAAAAAGTCAAAAGCATAATAGGACACCTTCAATATTCAAAAATGCATAATAGGGGCATTTTAAAAATAGGCTTCCTCATACATCCTGGTTTTCCAAGACTGTTTTAACCCTGGTTCTTCAAAGAAAAAAAAAAACTTATTGTTGAATGGAGAACATAAATAAGAAAATATCTTGATTTTTAGTTGTATTATTAACTCATTTTATTTCTACTTTTGTCTGATTTTAAATCATCTTAAAGCCCCTTGGACATTTGCTGAGGCCCCCTGTTTGAGAACCACCGGTTTAGTCTGTCAGTCATGCTTTACTCATCTCCACTTTATGTCTTTGCCTGTCCTTAGGGAGTCTTACCACCTCGACTGCTGGATCCACTGGGTTCAGCCTGGGCTTCGGAAAGCCAGCGGCCTCTGCTGCACCATTCTCACTGACCACCACCACCTCTGCACCTCCAGGCACAGGCCTGACTCTTGGCTCCGTCCTCACCTCCACAGCACCTCAGACCAGCTCCACTGGCTTCTCCCTTAACTTGGGAGGAGCAACCACCACTTCATCTGCACCTGCCCCGGGTTTTTCCTTTAGTTCCAGTCTCTTTTCCAATCCTACCTTGACAGGTCAGTCTTTTTTCGCTCTGTGATCATGTTACATTCAGTTTAAACTAGTATTTTTGCTCTCTTACTTATTTATTTTGTGTTTCAGGGTTGGGACAGTCTACATTAGGTGGAGCTCTGAGTCTGGGTGGTTTAGTCTCTTCCTCTGTCGCAGCCACCTCTGTCCCAGCACCCAGTCTCGGCCTGGGTGGAGTGGACTTCAGCACTTCCTCTGAAAAGAATACTGACAAGTTATCCAGCACCAGACCTGAGTAAGAACCACACCACAATAACCTTTTGACTCATCATAGGTTATTATATTATTATCCTTACCCTGCTGTTTATGTCTACAGGGACAGTAAAGCCCTCAAAGAGGAAAACCTCCCTGGTCCGATCTGTCAAGATGTGGATAACTTTCAGTGAGTTCACCACTTTTTGGGCTGATTGCAAGTTGATTTGGTGCTTAAAGTCACCATGAAATCAAAGTTAACAACTCATATTTTTTTATGAAATGTTGCCGTGTATATTTAAAAAAAAAAAATATCCATGCACAATTTTTATTTATTTATTCATGTGCCCCCCTAGTCTTTAATCAAAATTGCTCCTTCCTACCTGCATGACTTCTCTTCTCTGGTGACGTTTTTGACATTAGTTAACCTAGTATTAGTTTTTGCTGAAGTATCGATAACTGTGAAATTTCACTGATATTTAAAATGTACTCATATCGTGAAATAAGACTTTGATCATATCGCCGAACAATAATAGTGACGTGTTAAACAATTGTGATTTCAATATTGTCCAAAAATAATCGTGATTATCATTTTTGCCATAATGATAATGAGCAGCCCTAACTGATTATATTTAATTCATGCAGTGAAGACAATGTAGTGTTATTTTTCCATTTGATTATTCATTTTCTGCACTTTTTATTTTTTTATTTAAATCTTTGTTCTATTGTATTTATCTGTGCTTGTAATTTGTTTATTATTTTCTATGCCGATTGACTCCCCTACAAAAACAATTCAAATCAATCTAGAATGATTAATTATTTCCAAAGAGTTCATCTGGTGAAACCGTTTTCATATCACAATATATCACAGAAAAACAAAATATCGCAATGTCAGTGTTTTCCAATATTGTGCAGCCCTAATCACAACTTCTGTTTCATGCAAACTTTAATATCTGTTGTTTCTCAGGAAGTTTGTCAAGGAACAGAAGCAAGTCCAGGAAGAGATCAGCAGAATGTCCTCTAAAGCCATTCTCAAAGTGCAGGAGGACATCAAGACGCTCAGACAGCTCCTCTCTGTCTGTGCCAGCGGGCTGCAGAGAAATTCGCTGTCCATAGACAAACTGAAGTTGGAAACTTCTCAGGTTAGACAAATATTCTTTAGACCATTGCAAACAGTTAAACTAAGCATTGTTCAATCTTGTAATCCATCTTTTTCTTCATCCAGGAATTGAAGAATGCTGATATCGCACTTCGCACCCAGAAGACCCCTCCTGGACTCCAACATGAAAACACAGCACCGTCTGAGTGAGTGAATTAGAGTGCTTCTACTACTGAAGACCATTGATAGCAGTAAAAGTAGCTTACTATTAACTGTCCACCAATGTGCTGTCCATCTCTCCCTCCAGTTATTTCCGGTCTCTGGTGGAGCAATTTGAGGTGCAGTTACAGCAGTACCGTCAGCAGATCGAAGAACTCGAGAATCATCTGACCACCCAGAGCAGTGGCTCCCACATCACACCTCAAGGTCTTAATCTGCACTTTGCTATCTGTCAACTAAATAAAACACTGCCCTAATTCACATGATAGAAACGTAGATCTTGTATCCTAGTGACTTTGTGATGTCATCTATCATGTAGATTTGTCCTTGGCCATGCAGAGACTCTACCAGACGTTTGTTGCACTTGCTGCACAGTTGCATGCAGTTCATGAGAATGTTAAGGTACGTTTCTTATATGGGACAATTTCATATTTAAAAAATATATACATTTAATTTAAATATACACACACACAGTACTGTTCAAAAGTTTGAGGTCACTAAGATTTGTTTCATGTTTTTGAAAGTCTGTTCACCGAGGCTGCTTTTGTTTGATTAAAAATACAGGAGTGAAAACAGTAATATTATGACATTTTTGTGGAAACAGTAGCTACGTTTAATCCTAATAATCTGATTGTAATCGGACTAGTAGCACAGTCGGAATAAAAAACACTTGATAGGATTGAAAACCGTAACTGGAAAGTACTGCACATGTGCAAGGATGTAGAAATGGCGTAATGACGTATGACACGTGTAACGAGCTGTTGTTGAATGAAGTGTCATAAATAACTGTCGTGTCATTCTAAAGATTTTCCTTCCACTCATCGCCTGTGAAGTGGAGCAGGACAACGTCTCATTGTTTTGGGCTCCGGAATGGCCGTTTTTACTGCTTGGTTTATAAGCAGCACGACACAAAGCTTTATGTGCTTGTCATCGTCTCCTAATTATCACCCAAAATAGATAAATATCAAGTCTGCCGTTTTAAAACAAAGAAAATAAGCAATTTAGTAGAATAGTATGCGCAAACAGCAGGAAACTCGGTACATTCGTGCTGTGTGTACGGCAAAAAAAGTTAATTCCGATTTTAAGCTTGTGACAATAAAACGGGGACATCAACCCGATCACTATATTTAACAATCGTGTAAAAACTACGTTCGGATTCATCAATCAAAATGAATTGATTCCGGTTGAAACAAAAGGTGTGCATGTAAACATAGCTAGTGATAAAAAAATTTGAGGAGTCTTTGTTGAATAGGAAGTACATAACTTATTTTAAATATAAATATTTTATATCAAATTTTTTACTGTCATTTTTGATCATTTTAATGCTAAAAGGTATTTTTCTTTTCAAAAACATCTTTGACCCCAAACTTTTGAATGGCATTGTCTATTATACACATTCTTTAGAATAAAATGCACTGATAAATCAAGGACAGTAATTTATCAATACATATAGATTTCATGATGGAATTAAAGCAGAATTATTGTGTTTGAACAAGTCTTTTCTCTTGTTCTCTGTAGACTCTCAAACATCAGTACCTGGGCTACAGACGAGCCTTCCTCGATGACTCCTCTGACGTGTTCGAGTCGAAGCGTGTCGCCGGCAAGAAATGGCAGAGCTCTCCGCACGTCACCACAGGCCCCGCCCCCTTCGGCAGCGTTCCCAACGCAGCAGCCGTTGCCATGGCTGCCACTCTCACTCAGCAGCAGCAGCCGGCTCAAGGTCTGACCGCCTTCAAGTTCTAGACATCTTGACCTCTAGACTGATAGAATGACAAGGGAAGGGATGAATAGAAAGATGAGGGAGGGGGGAAATGTCGGAGAAAGGCAGAGCAGACAAAAGAATTCAAGAATAAACCGTAAATTCAGTCAGTGCCATGTCTGTTTTTATTTTATATATTTTTAAACTGTCTCTCTTTGAGATATGGAGCAACAGGGTTCTTTTAACATACATCAGGGTTCTTTTAACATGCATCATGTGACTCTACGTGTGCCAACTAGTGTTGTGAGAATTTAGATGCTGACTGTCTTGCCCACTTCTGTTTTCTTTTAATCTCTTTTCCTCAATCAAGAAAATGTAAACCAGTAGCATCAAATGCTATTTTGATACAGCCAAGTTTTAACCATGGTTAAATGGGCACATTCCAAATCAAGTAAAGGTTTAGAAGGTTTGCCATCTTCAGGTGGTATGTTTGTGTTTCGGAGGGACGAGTGGCACGGAACGTCATCGGATTTGATATCTGATAATCCAACAGCACTAATGTAGCCACACTACACAAAGTAGCCAAACTCTTTGTAGAGTAGACTCACACCTGCTACACACGGATTGAAACACTTTTATTATAATAATCAACCTATATTCCATGGAAGATGTGAAAGTTGATATTTTGAAGTGCCGACATAAACTTTTCTGCCAACACAACTGCCGTGGCTGAGGCTTTCTGAGCAATATGTTGTTTGTAGATGGCAATATACAGATAAAAGCTGTGTAATTCTGTTAAAATTGAACATGCTATGCAGGAAAGAGATAGTCGTACCTCAGGACAGGAACACATTTAGTTCTTTCCATATTGTTCTCAGTTGGTGGCATTCTACTGCTAACATGCATTTTGTTAGCTGCATACAAAACTCTTCTTGAATAATGTTCATAATTAATAGTTTTAAAGGAAAGCTTTTTGCATGAGCTTCCACATCTCATCTGCGATCGATCAGTTTAAATACAGAAAACGTGCATTGTAACGTCTTGATCTGTCAGACCAGACATAAGGTTCTTGTTTGGGTTAGTGATGATGTCAGGCTGTTTTATTCCCAAATATATACATTCGCTTTCTTTTTGTGGTTGTGGTGATTTGAATTAACTGGATTTCAGTGAGGTTTGCTTTGCATATGCATGTGTAGATATGTATGAAGGGAGTGTGTAAGCTACTGACTCGGAGGTGCATTAAGGTCATTTACTGGATTTCATTCGACAGCTCAGTGAATATGACACAATTTGTGTGTGTATTTTATTCTTGATTGAAGTTTCCTTTGCTTTGGTGACACCCTCCATCCGTCTGTAACCATGGTTGCATTTGTGGTTTCCATGGAGACTTGCTGGCAATAATAGCAGGTTGGAGGTGTAAGAGATAGTGTTGGATGTTCCACTTCCAATGTCACAGAATCTGGGTTCTCAGTCTATAGAGAAGAATCAAGTTACAGACATTTTTGATTTGTGATATTACTAGAAATAAGTCGACAAAAGGGCTTTATCAGTGTGATCCATTAACCAAAATCATTTGACTGAAAACTTGACTGTTCCTCATTCACATTATATGTCAGTTTCCCAATATATCAAAAAAAAATTTAACAGTAATACAAATGTTTTTTTTTTTTTTTTTTTAAATGGACGTTGCCTTTGTGCCTAAAAGTCTAGGCTGTTGTGGGTGATTTAGCATATTATATTAACTGTAAATATGTAGTGCGCTAAACCAATGGCATGGCTTATTTAGTTGCACAGTGTATATATATACACACAGCACCAGTTGTGAGAGATAATTATTGGCATTTCCTTATAGAATCAGCCCAATTATAAATGGCTATAAGACACTGCAGTAAAGTCTGATGAAGATGAAAATCATACACAAAGACTAGTTGTTGTTCTTACTGTAAAAAGTGATCAGTTGACTTAACTTTAAAAAAAAGCAAGGAAACCAGTTGGCTTAAAATAAGTAAATAAACTTCATGAGTGATTAAATAAACTAGCCTAAGTTATGTGAAGTTGACAATATATTTTCAATTACGCATGAAATTTATTTACTTTTTAAGGCAACTGTTTTCCTCACTTTTAGTTAAGTCAACTGATCACTTTACAGGGCATGGTCTCACTTTATTTAAGGGCTACAACGTTCAAGCCTTCAGTTTGAGTGAACTTGCTGCTTTATGGGACTGTTGAGGGTCCACAGTGAAGGATTGTGCCAAACTTCAGTATTCAGAACTGCCGTTTTTGTGATTCTCAGCCTTTTGGTGGCTCAAAGCTGCTATTTCATGCTTAAATCCATCTTTCTCTTACCATGGCTGTCATAACTTGAAGGTCTGAGTAATAGTAGAGGTCGTAATGCCTATTCTAACACCGTTTCGAATAACTTTTCTTACTAAAGCAACACACTTTCCGCTTTGTGGGAAAGATGTGAGAATCAGATCAGATAGCCCGCCTATAGACGTCCTCTACAGGCCATTGTGAATCTCAGATCTTACAGACTTTCTTTTGCTTTTAATCGCCAATCTACTATACAAACAACTGATCTTACTGCATGCCATGGTTTTAAAAAAACGCTTTTAGGAAGTTGTGGCTTTTGTGTGTTGGTACTTTATCAAAGCTCTTACACAGGATGTCTGTTTATAGACATGTCTGAATCTCGGTATACGTTTCCATTCCTTGAAACATATATGGGGCTTATTATTTTGGTTGTTTACAAATAGTATCATAGTGAATTCTATAATCTAATTTATAATTTGATTTCTTTATTTTTTTGTTTTGATTATGCTTGTTGATGCATATGAATTTGTGTGCCTTTTGGATACAGCATTTAGTCCTAACCATTGTTTGAAATGCATTTTTGGCACAGGTTGGCTTTAATCGTTTTGAACAGTGTTAATGCCATAGCTACTACTAGGAATCGGTTTGTCCTCAATTGTCTGTCATGTTTAATGTAATTTGAATTGACAATAAATCAGTTTTTTTTTATAAAAAAAAGCCCTTGTCTTTGTTTCTTTTTGACTGATTAATCATTGATATTTGTCAATGAATTGGATAAAAAGACTGCATTTGAGATGCTGATTTATCACATCTCTAAATTAAATATTTAATCAAATTTAAACCAGCTAAAAGGAAACGAGACAGGAGCACATTTTATGCATTAAGTAGCAGCAGGTTCAGCAGATGTAGTTTAGGAATAAGTAACTTTTGTCCCAAGTTAAGTGATTTAGTTAATCCATCAAAATAAGAACACAAGTGTTGCTCCAAGGTAAGTAAAAACGAAACTAGAAGCGGATTAGTGCGTAAATGGAAAAAAGATTGAAATTGCAACCATTAGCGCCTATTTTTTGATATTGTAGTTTGCATTTGCTCCATCATAATGTGCAGTAATTCAGATGATGCTTTAATTAAAAACCACACTGTGCCACTTCCTTTCAATAAGGACTGTGTCCAAAAGATGCTTTCAAAGCATGTGCTTCTCTCACAAGGCTGTGATTACAATTTTTTGCTCATTGATAACATGGATCTGATATATGAGGGTGCATGAGAGTAAGTTCCTCTGCTCTCTTTCTTTGTCCCAGGACCTCAGGCGCCCTTGGGGGCCAGTTTTGGCACTCCATTTTCCTCGGGTATTGGCACTAGCATGGGCTCATCAAGCCTCGGAGGTACTTCCTCTAATATACCTCTCCTCTCCCTTTCCATCTCTACACTCTTCACAAGTCTTTCACTCTCATTCAGTCTTAAAGGGATAATTCACCCCAAAATGAAAATCCTTGTTTATCCACCCTCATGCTACACTGAACCCATATGATAAAAAAAGAGATATTTTGAGAAATCTTCATGCAGGCCTTTGTCATACGATGACAGTTCATCATAGTGAGCATTGCTGTTTAGCTCCAAAATAATACAAAATACTGCATAAAGCAACATAAATATGGTCCATGCACTGTATTTAAGGTCCTTGCACACAGTCCAAAATTTCCGTATGCGTTTTTTCGTATTCGTCATTCGGTGGCTCATAATTGACAAAACACCTTTCAAAATGCTTGCTATGGATGCGAAAAACGCGTCCAAATTTTTTTATGATGGACAAAGTTTCGGAGGCAATGTGTACACCTGATTGACACAACGTGAGGTATTAATTTTTTTAAAGTGCAAAAAAACTTCGGGCGACAATTTCTGACTCGGTGTGCAAGGACCTTAAGTCTTCTGAAGTTATACAATAACTTTGTGTAAAGTTATTCACTGATAATCTTCCCCTCCAGTTTTCTGTTATCTCAGGAATTGCTATTACTGGGTCATTATTGAGGCAATGCATGAGTCTGAATTATGAACAAATCGGTCTTTAGAGCTAGTTCTTTTACTGAGAGATGATGTGTCCAGTTCACAAATTGTAGTAAACTATATTAAATCATTAAGGGGAAAGATTCTTAAATTTTGGTCTTTTTCAAAACAACTTCTGAAAATGTTGAATATATAGTCCATAAGTCATTTAGACAAGTCTTGATATGCAAGCATGATATCTATAGTGTTTTAGTGCAAAAACGGGTTTTAATTTACTTTGAATAAATAAATTTGTTACTAAGTGGACAATTCCTTCAAGGATGTGGAACAAATCAGGACTCTTGTTTTGTCGTAATAATGCAAAGATGATTAGGTTATATATAGAAACTTGTATTTTTCACATTTCCTTCACCATGTTTTTCCTTCATGATTTTTTTTTTTAGTTAATCTCAAATATAACCCATCATTCATTCCTAGCCCCCATTCCCCTGCCCTATGACTGCGAGGTTATCTCTGGTGTATATGTAGTCGTAACGCCTAAATGCCCCCTCCCCCCTCCCCCTCTGTCTCTCGGCAGCATTTGGTAGCGGCCCTGGGTTTGGGGGCGCAACAGGAGGTTTGTCGTTCGGGTTTTCCTCTAGCAAGCCATCTGGAGGGAGCCTGAGCGCAGGTGTGTTTGTTAGCACCCTCCTCCCTCTTCTCCGCTTTCATCAACACTAACCATTACTAACAGCTGCCCCTTAAATCTAATCTCCCTTTTCCCCCAGAATGCATTAACATCATGCTGCTTAAGGGCAAGCACTGCATATCAGAGAAACTGAAATGTAAAATTTGCATGGTTCATTTAACTGCTGTAATGTGGCTTACTTAAGTGCCCAATAATGCTTGTCGTTAGCAGTAAAAGTTGATCATTTTCACCGCTCTCATTTTAAACTCTATTTCTTTATCAGGGTTTGGAACATCTAACACCTCGGGCTTCAACTTCAGTAACCCAGGCATCAATGCATCGGCTGGGTTGACCTTTGGCGTTTCCAACACACAAACTCCTGGATTTGGGGCAGGTGGGCCACTGCTACAGCTTAAAAAACCACCAGCGGGAAACAAGAGGGGCAAGAGATAAAACAGCAAGTTGTTGTGGGGTAAAGGGAAATGTCACGAGGTAAAGATGATGTGTCTCTCAGATCTTTATTTTTATATATGCGTGTGTGTGCATACATGTTTTCTCTGTTGAATGCCATTAAAGGATTTGTTCGGCTCTCCCTTTTACCCTAGTGACTGTGCTGTGTTCTCGTTTACTGTTTTCCGATGAATTGCATAAGAGCTAACAGATGCACAAAACACCCGTGAAGGAATTTTGATGTAGATGCTCTTGGTATTGAAGATACTTTTGAACTAAGTTTACCTGTGTCCGTGGCTTTATTTTAAACCACATGCGCTGTGATTGTAAATGTCAACCCATTCTATTAAGATGACCTATGTAATCGGTTTCCTGGTTAATTGTACCAAATAGATGTCAACCTGTATAAGAATGTTAAATTTGTATACCCCATTTTTGTTTTTGTCTTTGTTACCAAATAGTGAAAAAAAAAAATCTATACTTAAGCAGACTTTGTGCAAACATGTAATTTTTCGACAAGTTTGTGTTATTAAAAGAAGCGACAATTATATTGTTTTGAGTCTCTTTTTGTATGCATCAGAATGTTGTATCCAAGAATGCATTTGGTAATTGCTATCTATCTATATATATATATATATATTACACATTTTGTTTAAGATATATAATGTAGTGTGAGTGTATTCATATTTTTATTCATTTTACTAATAATTAAGTACGTGTGCATTTGAAAAGGCAATATTCCAGCTTCTGTTTTGACTGTTCTGGAGTTTAAACCTAGCCTAAATGCACCCATACACGCAAAATGCCAGACTGGCGTGACATTTACAAAAAATCACGTGTGATAGAAATCTGAGGCTGAATCCGAAATCACTCCCATACCCTCAAATAGGGCGCTATAGTAGTGGTGTCCGAAACCATAGTGGACGTTATTGAGTGCACTCATTCAATCCCACATTGCACCGCAATAACGTGTGTACTATTACAACCATAGACTACAACCGATGTACGCTCAACGGCTGTCCGAATTCGCTCACTCGTTTTAATTTACTCCTTCAAGTGAACAGTATTAGTAGATTAACGTAGGGAATAGTGAATGAGGTTTGGAGTCCGATTTTGGATTCAGATTAATATAGTCGTGCGGATGTTGCTTGCTTGGTAAACTTCCCGGGCGTCGAGGCACGTAACCTAATCAATATTAATCAGCGAGCCATTTAATTCGCCATTCGCCAGTAGACTGACTGGCACCCGCTTACCAACGTCTGCTTTACATCCAATCAAATAGGTCTACTGGGTTAATTTCGTGCAACGTCATGAATATTCATAACTCAGTCGTTACCGTAGTACTGCAAAATAGAGGCGGCGCAAAGGCGGAGCCGAACCGCCGAGGTTGGTGTGGCACGGGTGGACGGATAACATCCCTCCCTTTCCCGTCTTTTGTAGTCAAGGAAGAAGAAAGATGGCGCCTACACATGTACTGAGATGTTGCCAGAGGGGTCTGGCGTGGATACCGGTGATATTTATTGCCTTAGTTGTGTGCTGGTCGTATTATGCATACGTGGTGGAGCTGTGTATATGTAAGTGCGCTTTATTTTTCACACCAGACGGGCACACGTCTACCGGAAGTCACTGAACTGAAACCTCAATGAATGATTTGTTTACATAAACTGGCGTATTGATTTCAAACTGGAAGCAAAACAACAAGACTTAACGTTATGGTTTTAATGTGGTTTTGGAGCATATATTGTGCGGTGTAGCATTCGGTAGTGTTGGACACTAAGATGACTAAGTTACCTTATTTCTTTAATTTACAGTTCATTTTAATGTAAATATTTATGATAAATAGCCAAACACCATTAGTATAGAATATTTTTTTTCCAGTGTTACAGTAACAAAAAACCGTAAATATTTATTCACGTGTCCCTGTTTATTCAGTGTCCAGAGCAGACATCAGACACCGGATTGTTGAGCTTCTTACTGAAATAATAGCACAAATTGTATTTTCAATATGGAGCTGCTTAGTATAAGTTTATAAGCAGACATGTTCAGAAGTCCCTGACGCAGAGTCAAGCCTCAAGTTCACATGGCCAAGTGAAGGATGTCGCAAATCCATATCTCAACAATGTTCATAGAAGCAGAAGTGTGATAAGGCAGATGTGCCATGACATGAGTCACAATTCTGCTAAACAGTCTCTTTCTCTCTGTTTTTATTTTCTCTGCAGTAACTATTCCTAGCACGGGCGAAAAATGTGAGTAAAACTCTTACCCGAGGAATAATGTACAATCATGATGTTTCATGAAGAGTTACAGATATTTGTATGTATGTTTATAAAAGTACAAAGCCACTTTGGCACAGTTGTCAGGCTATTACGGCTTCATTCGGTCCATGCTTGTGCTGACTGCGGGCCCTTCAGCACAGTCAGACTGCATTAGTAATCACAAACGCCTTTAAGTGACTGATTTATACTCCGACTGTTTCTGGCAGGCTTCTCTGTAGGCTCAAGCAGTCTTGTTGTTAATAACTGTATACTGTTTGTTCCTTTCAGTCATCTACCTGGTTGTGTTTCACCTGTCATTCGTCATGTTTGTGTGGTCGTACTGGAAAACCATCTTTACAAGACCAGCAAACCCTTCCAAAGAGGTACAGCAAGTATAAAACAAACAGTTGTGTATTTGTTTTGGACAGTCAGTCCATGGTAACATGCCACATATTAACATCATGTGAATGTTAGTTCAGCCATTATAAATAAATGCACAAAATATTTATTTGTTTCTATGGAGTGTGCTTTTTATGTATCATTTTACTACACACTGTTGTTGTTCAAAATGGAATATGCTGCTGATATATCACACAATGAGCTGATTGTATTGTATTGTGTCTTAGTTCTGTCTACCTAAATCTGAGAAGGAACAGTATGAGAAGGAACAGCGTCCAGAAACTCAGCAGGAGATCCTGAAGAGAGTGGCCACTAGCCTGCCCCTCTACACCCGCACCGGGGCAGGAGGTTAGTGGTTAGGAGACTGACTTTACACCCTCAAACACATAGAATATTTAACAAAATATGACCCACTAGCTTCTACCTCAAGGGCATGAGTACTAGATTTTGTCAAACACAGGCTTAGCCTCTTAGTCTTTTCTTTTTTGAGTGAGACATGTTTTAAATTTTAAATGATGTACTTTAATTATGTAATTGTCAACAGTGATTAACCTTAAACTATCTGCACAAACAGCCTGTTTAAGTTTTTAGTTTAGCTGCCAATCAATTTTATAGGCATCCAAGATTACCACCCTAGTTAAGTGTAAATATTCTGTATTTATACATCAATTAATTAATTATGGAACTCTTTAAAGTTTTACCAGGATTTTTTATTTTATTTTTTATTTTTTGTCAAATGTAAAATTAAATTGTCTGGTTGTACTTTATTACTTTATTGTAAACTCTTTTTTTTTTTTTTTTACTTTGTCTTCCTGTCTATCTTTCTGTCTTTCTGTCCGTCTGTCTATCTGTCCGTTCTCATAACTGATTATACTCGCAGTTAATTTCTGTAAAAATACAATAAGAAACTAGCCTGGTTAAAACCAGACCATTCTCAGTTGTAACTGAGTTATGGTCTGGCAAAGCGTCATAGACAAATAATTTCCGGGAGCGGCGGATAAACAACTCCGAGTGTTCCCGGTTTTTAACAAAAGGGAAACGTTCAAATCGCTTAAAACAGACGCGATAGCTGATTCGAACGAGTGATGTTCGACGGTGGCATCCATCTTTGTAATGTAGGCTACAAAATCTGCTTCAAAATCCCAGCGCTGTCGTCATCGTGTAAAGCCCGCCCCAACGTTTCTGATTGGTGCCTCGATTTCGGCGGATTGGAAATGAGCTTGAATGAGCTCTTTGCCAGACTAACTTTCAGAGCAAATCTAAATTTGCCGGAAGTTGTCTGGGTTTTCCCAGGCTAATAAGAAACTGAAAAAAAAAAAAAAAAACCCAAAATTCCACAATTATTATTATTTTTATATAATGTCATTTTAATATTATATAATTTATTATGTTTTAATTATTTGGGTTATAATAATTTTATTTCAGTACTGTACAGCCACAATAGATTGTTATGAGAAGTTCTTCAGCATGAATCAGCTGTGTGTGAAGCTTCAAGATATTTTTGTAATTTCTTTCTTTTTCTGATGTCAGTACAGTTAATAAAGTGCCAATACTCTAATTTCTCACATAATTGTATCAAATTTGAGGGTTGTTTGTTGGTTGTTTTCTCACTCAAAGCCATTTTAAGACCATCTCTGGCTCACTCCGTAAATCTAAAATCCCTCTGAATCTATCTTTTATTATTATCTATTTATTTTTATTTTTATTACCGGTATAATCTATTCATTATTATTTTTTACCTATTTATTATTACCTTTTATTATTATTAATTAATTTTTACCTTTTGTTATTTTGCCATAAAAAACAGAAACTGGCATGAATTTTTTTTTCTCCTCTTCTTGTAGCTATCCGGTACTGTGACCGCTGCCAGGTCATCAAGCCAGACAGATGTCATCATTGTTCTGCATGTGACATGTAAGTTACTGTAGTGCCTCATGGTCAGTTCTGAAGGCATTTAGTTTCATTAGTTTCAATTTGTGTCATTTTAGCGACTTCTTTCTTCTAAATGCTTGTTCTTGTTTCTGACAGGTGTGTACTAAAGATGGATCATCACTGTCCATGGTGAGTGAGATACAAGTTGTTGACACTGAAATTTTATATAATAGCTAACATCTCTCTTTCCCTCCATTATCCACAGGGTAAATAACTGTGTGGGTTTCTCCAACTACAAGTTCTTCATCCTGTTCCTGACCTATTCGCTTGTTTACTGCTTATTCATCGCAGCCTCTGTCCTCCAATACTTCATAAAGTTCTGGACAGTGAGTAGATCCCACCCCTTTCATCATACTCATTCGTGTATCTTTCTTCCTTGTACGTAAAAGTCTTGATTGTCATATTGTGTCATATGTGGGTCATCGTGTTACACGTGTGGATAGATATGTGATCTCGGCGGTTTCCTCCATGTGCTATAGTCATGCATCAGTTTATTTCCCATCTACCAACCTTCTCCACTCTGTCACCCTCATTCTACTGTTGTGCTGTCCTTTCCATTTCATCTGCTTGTTTTACTTGCACTACTCAGGTTAAAAACAGTAAAAAAAATGAAAAGAAATGAATACTTATATTTAGCAAAGATGATCAAAAGTGACATTGAAGACATTTAAAATGTTACAAAAGATTTCTATTTCAAATAAATGCTGTTCTTTTGAACTATCTGTTCATCAAAATCCTAAAAATAATTTATCACGGTTTCCACAGAAATATTAAGCAGCACAGCTGTTTTCAACATTGATAAATAAGAAATGTTTCTTTAGCAGCAAATCAGCATATTAGAATGATTTCCGAAGGATCACGTGACACTGAAGACTGGAGTAATGATGCTGAAAATTCAGCTTTGCATCACAGGAATAAATAACGTTTTAAAATAGATTAAAATAGAAAAGTTATTTTAAATTGTAATAATATTTCACAATATTACTGTATTCAAGTAAATGCAGCCTTGTTGAGCATAATTTATAAACATAAAAAAAATCATACTAATGTCAAACTTTTGAACAGTAGTGTATACAGTAGTGTATGTTTCGACAAGCACTTGTTCGCTGCTTTAAACCCTTCTTCTCGTCAGCTTTTGCTCTCCTGCTGTGTTTTTCCTGTGTCTAACAGTCTGTCTCTGTTTGCAATAAGCTTTGCCGGAGGAAATCGGCAGAGAATTGTCCAAAGGTAATCCCTCACAGTGTTTAGTAAACGTGTCATTGAGTTACGTTGACTGTTTTTTGTCGTTTTATCCCTGTGACCCTAACGTACCCGTCAGGTTGTGTCGGAGTGACATGTTGCCCATGTCTTGCTCATTGTTGATCTTTGTCTCACAGCTCTCCTTTCTCTCTCCCCCCTCTCTCAGAATGACCTGCCAGAGTCTCACGCCAAATTCCATGTCTTGTTTCTCTTTTTTGTGGCGGCCATGTTCTGCATCAGCATTCTTTCACTCTTCACTTACCACTTGTGGCTTGTGGGAAAAAACAGGTCCACCATAGGTAACACACCTGACCATACTCACTTCATGTACTGTGTAGATAGATTCACGTTTCTAACAAAGCTGTCATGCCTGTAGACAATTTGCTCACTGTAGTTACCATAGCAACAACAGTAGGTCTGCTGTGCACAAGCAAAACCTTGTTCAGATTTATTTCGGTAAACTGGTCCTTCAAATTTCCATGTTGACCAAATCAATCAAGCAGTCTTTGAAGCAATTTCCTGCTTGTTTTCCCATCAGCCCCTGTAATTTACAGCATAAATCCACTCAGTCAGCTTCAGTCACAAGAGCTCAATGATTTCATGTTGTGGTTTTTCATGTATTTACTCTGCGTTCAAAAGTTTGGAATCGGTAAGAATTTTTAAAAAGGTTTTTGAAGTAAGTAGTATTGTGAAATATTATTACAATTTAATACAACTGTTTTCTATTTTAATATATTTTAAAATGTAATTTTATTTAAAATTAGAATTTCCAGCATCATTACTCCAGTCTTCAGTGTCACATGATCTAATATGATGGTTTGGTTCTTATTATCTTATTATCCTCAGTGTTGAAAACAGTCGTGCTGCCTTTTTGGTGAAAACTGTGATACGTTTTATTCAGGATTCTTTGATGAATAGAAAGTTAAAAAGAAAAGCCTTTATTTGAAATAAAATCTTATGTAACATTTTACCATCACATTTGTTGCATCCTTGCTAAATAAAAGTAGGAATTTCTTCTTCTTCTTTTTTTTTAAACCTTACTGACCCCAAACTTTTGAACGGTATTTTAAACCTTTTTTGGATTGTTCTTTATGTTCAGAAGCGTTCAGAGCCCCGGTCTTCAGAAACGGCCCTGATAAAAGTGGATTTTCCCTGGGCTTCAGCAAGAACATTGCTCAGGTGTTTGGGGACCAGAAGAAGTACTGGCTACTTCCTGTCTTTACCAGGTCAATTTGAATATTAATGTTTTTTTTTTGTTTTTTTGTGCTGCTTGCTAAGGCAATATTTTGGCTCATACATACGGTTCATGGTTTTGAAAAGCACCCTAAGTATTACATTTCAGTGCTTTCTGTTTTTCTTTTACACTGTACAGTACAGTGCTACCACATAACAACACACTACTAACCACTCTGAATACATTAGTAACCACATAGCAATGCCCTGGTAACCACTTACAACACCTTAGCGTCATACACTACCGTTGAAAAGTTTGGGGTTAGTGAATTGTTTGTTGTTTTTTCTTTTGAAATAAGTATTTATTCAGCAAGGACAGATTAAATTGATCCAAAGTGACAGTATTACTTCTGCATTTACTTCTATTTCAAGTAAATGCTGTTCTTTTGAACTTTATTTTCATCAAAGAATCTTGAATAAAATATGTATCACGGTGTCCACAAAATATTAAGCAGGACAGCTGTTTTGAACATTAATAAGAAGAAATGTTTCCTGAGCACCAAATCAGCATAGTATAATGATTTCTGAAGGATAATGTGACACTGAAGACTGGAGTAATGACGCTGAAAATAAATTGCATTCAAATAGAAACATTTTATTTTAAATTGCCATAATATTTCACAATATTACTGTTTTTACTGTATTTTTTTATCAAATAAATGCAGCCTTGGTGAGCATAAGATTTCTTTCAAAAACCTTCTTACAAAAGTGTCCTTAAAATCTATTTAAATATTGTAATATTTGACTTGTAGAAATGAGATAAAGTATGTTTTTCTTCTGTTATAGTCAAGGAGACGGCCTTTCTTTTCCTACACGGTTGGTCACTGTTGATCCAGAGCAGCCCACTGAATGTCCCCAGCCTGGCGGGTTGGATAAAGGGTGAAGTGCCGTTTCCTCTCTTACCATTGAGTGGCAGTGTTTGTGGAAAACCAACCAAAAAGAGATGAATGCAATATCGGTAACTCTGTGTGGTTCATTCCCACAGTGCTGTAGAAGGACCTGCTGAGCAAACCAGCCCTCTCAGTGAATCCCAAAACCGTCTGTTAGGCAACGAAGAAGATCACAAAGAGATAGATGTCTTAAAGTCTGGTACGTTTCTTTTTTCTTTTCTTTTTTGCTCCATTCTAGCAGGCCTAAGTGGAAAAATTGTTGAGAATATTCTTCATCTTGCCTTTCAGATGAAAGTGAAGCCATCACTATCTCTATTGAGAGCGAGTCATAGCTAGGTAAGGTTATTTCACACTAAGTATTGCTATGTAATATATGCAATATATACAACACTACATTTCAAAAGTTTAGTGTCAAGGCCCGTTTAAACAAAGATGTAGGTGTGGATGCTAATATAGATATCTTTATAGTTAGGGCCTTTAGTTAAAAAAAAAAAAAAAATATATATATATATATATATATATTTATATATATATATATATATATATATATATATATATATATATATATACTTTTATTCAACGTGTATGAATCAAATTGATCAAAAGTAAAGACTTATAATTGAATGTTATTTCTAAACACTGTTCTTTTCAACTTTCTATTCATCAGAGAATCCTGAACAAAAATGTATCACAGTTTACACAACAATTGATAATAATAAGAAATGTTACTTGATTTCTGAAGGATCATGTGACACTGAAGACTGAAGTAATGATACTTTGCCATCACAGGGATAAATGAAATTTGAAAATATATTACAATAGAAACCGATTGTAATAATATTTCACAATATTACGTTTTTTACTGTATTTTTGATCAAATAAATGTAGCCTTGTTGAACATAACTGATGTCATTTCCTTTCTCTAGGACTGAAGCTGGTGAGGGGTGAGTCCTCAGCGGTTTCGTGCCTTTGACTCCCAGTACTGTTGAGGAGAATCACCGCCATCAAAGCTGATGCCTTAAACAGCGCTTTTTCTCTAAAAGCTCCCAAACACTTTCCATTTCCCATCGCTTACGGAGCATCCCAAATCTGTGCTGTACATCATGTCTATAAAATGACTCCCAGTCCCCGTTGAACTATAGTAGCTGCACTCTTTTAACAAAGATTTGCACGCATGTCTTTTAGCATCCATCGTTTTTTGCACAGTAAACCGTTTTGTTGCTCAGGCCTGCAAAGACCCCACAAGACATGCTTATTTCACTTGTAAATTGATACAGGCAAGTGAACGGTCTGACTGAGCTCATCTGGAATCCCTTGTGCCACAGAGTGTCACCGGCTTCAGAGTTAATGGACACGATGGCTCATTCGCACTTTCAAATTCATTACTAAAGAGTTTTGTTGTTTTTGGAATATACTTTTTTTTAAACTTCATTGACGTTCGTCTAAGATATAAACACGCACGTGTTCACAAAGTGCGACAGAGTGTGACCAGGCAGAGGACGCCTGCAAAAGACCCTTTTTGTGTATTCTTAAGCTGCTCCACTTGTATGGTGACTATTATTTTCTTTTGCCAGTCTTGAGATGATTCTGGTGTGAAATGCTGTGCACACGTCGGCCACTTTACGTATGCCAAATAAAGGGCTTATTACCAGAGCTCTGAACTCTACAGGAGTGTTTACAAAATGTCAGTAATACCTCTCTGCTCTTGCAGTGTAGCCAGTGTGTCACTTTGGAAACCAAATGAAAATCTTTGTAGGTTCCTCCTGCAGTATCAGACCTGGCCAGCAGGCGGCATTTACACTGCTTGATATTGTATTGCGCGGTCAGTGGTCTTTGGTATTGGATCACCAGATTTTTGTTCTCAATCCTTGATTAAAGGGTTAGTTCACCCAAAAAAGAAAATTCTGTCATTAATTATTCACCCTAATGTCGTTCCAAACCCGTAAGACCTTTGTTGATCTTCGGAACACAAATTAAGATATTTTTGATGAAATCTGAGAGCTTTCTGACCCCCTATTGACAGCAACATCATAACCACTTTCAAGCAAGGCCCAGAAAGGTAGCAAAGACACATGCGTGTGCTGTTGATGCGGCGTTCTGATGGAAGTGCTGCACTGTTTACAGTGTCAAAGAATGACACGGAAGAGAAGAAATTGTTGAATAAAGTCGTTATTTTTGTGTTTTTTTGCGCACAAAAAGTATTCTCATCGCTTCATAACATTAAGGTTGAACCAATGCAGTCACGTGGACTATTTAAACGATGTCTTTACTAACTTTCTGGGCCTTGAAAGTGGTTATGATGTTGCTGTCTACAGGGGGTCAGAAAGCTCTCGGATTTCATCAAAAATATCTTAATTTGTGTTCCGAAGATCAACAAAAGAGACACCCACGACACGAGGGTGAGTAATTAATGACAGAAATTTTATTTTTGTGTGAACTAACCCTTTAAATTATGTTTTTACCTTTTTCTTTTCTTATATTTTATACATAAGCTTTGTGAATAGCTCTTCTTCATATTAAAAATGCAAATGTTTTTAGCCATTTTTGCAAAGCGGTAAAAGTGTAACGTTCTTTTTCTTTATTTATATTTGTCGCAAGTTAGCATTTGTTAACTTTGGTCCAGCGTGGAATAATAATTGTGCCCCGTCAGCTGTGAGTGTAGAGTGAGCTAACGTGAAACTGATGTGTGGAAATCCAGATGTGTTTTATGTATCGCAGTATTGCTTCATTTGTGTTCTGACGTAAATAAAGAAATGACAAATCAAGACATTCATGCGAACATGCATTAGAGTGCCACTGTTCTGTGTTTGTTGTTAATGAGAGTGAAGCAACTAAATAAACCAGTAAAAAGAGATTTTATACGCCCATTTATGGAACAATGTACTGTCTCAAATCTGGAATGGTTTCTAAGTATTACCAGATGAAGGGTTTGGTTTTTGAAAAGATCTTTGACTGTTTATGTGCTGTGAAAATCTAAGTTTGTCATCACTTTTACCATCAGTGACCACACATTGAAGATTGCTACTGGTTATAAAGTAATGTTTTATGTGAAATAAATGGTGTAGCTGTTTTGTGATCTTAAGGAATGCATATAGTGGTACAGAATGGGTTTAGAGATTGTTTTTGTCTTTAAAACGGCTTTCTTATAGGTATGAATTACACAGCCTTGATGAAATTAAAAAAAAAGATGTTTTTTATGGTGTATCTCAGTTCTGTTTCAAAGCATGGCCCTAAAACCAATTTTTTTTTTTTACTTTTTTTTTTTTTTGTCTTTCATTGCATTTTTATACTTTATTAATAAGTTAAAAGTAAACATGAAGCCATAATGAAATTAATATAGAATATTTGTTGGTGTCTTTGTACCATGTTCTTTATTTCTGTTACAATCAGATAAAAAAAACTGAATCATTCTGTTACAATCAGATAAAAAAAAACTGAATCATGGTGCTTCAATGCATGGCAAACACAGCTACATATTTGATTTACTGATGTGAAAGTCTGGATTACATGTTTTAAAATGCATATGGTACAGATAATGTAAAAAGAAATACATATTTTTTAATTTTGTGAACAAAGTACATACTTATATGTAACAAGTAACAATAAATGTCCATTTCTAAAAAAATATAATAAAAAAACTAGTTTTGTGTTTCTGCAACATTTATACAGGTTTGACTTGAGGTCCGTAGAAAAATGCCATTAATCTGATAGATAAAACGATGGAAGTTTATGAGATGTCCTCATTAATAATCAAACGTGTGTGTGTGTTGGTTTCAAGGGCTGTTCTCTACCCTGAACTCTGTCCAGCTCATTAGCACTGAGGTCATTCAACTCTAGCAAATCACAAGTTCAGCATGTTAAACATACTATTCTCACACTCCTTTTGAGTTTAACCATCTTTGTAAAAATGTGTATGTATTGTCAATCTTATGTGAACTTTGGTCTGTCTGATCTTGTAACATAAACCCTCCCAGTTACTGTTTATGCTTGTATAACAAACGTTCTCAAGTCTCAGTTTTGTTTCGCTTACATAGAGGGAGAAGATATCTATCCATCCATCTATCTGTTTGTCTATTCTTAGAACTGATTAGGCAAGTATTTTTACCTAAGTAATATACAACAAAATAGATGCTATGAGAAGTTCCTCAGCAGTGTGTAAACTTTAAAGCTCTCGGTTTTTCTGTCATTTGTTTCCCTTTTCTGATGTCAGTAGTGAGTGACTAATTTTAACACTATGGTAGGCTACTATAGCCTACTCTAGTCTTTTTTAAGTGAATTAAGTGCTTATCCGATACATTTCCCGCATATTTTTTCGCATATTTTGTTCAGTCACTTCATCTCTAGCTCACTTCTCCGCATATGATAAAATCCTGCAGAAGCCAGTCCACTCATCTGTGCTTGTGTGACACTATTGCGCAGGCGCAGTGTATTCGGATGAAAGAGTCGTATTTTCATTGGTCAGTGATCCATCACTATTTACCCCTTGTGTGGGCGGCCCCTTTAACAAGTGCTGGGATTCCTCTACACACAGTCTACAGAACCAGCCTGCTTTCTCCTCAGTTTATTGGTTTCACGCATGCTGAAACCAACAGGCGGAGTGTCGGGGAGTGTGGTTTGCACGGATTACAGTTTGCCCTGGCTCTTATAAACAAACGGTGACTGAAGATGGAAAAGTCAAATTTCACACTTTTTGATCCGAGATGCAGACAAGATGCTCCGTTCTCTATCGATGTTATTATGCGTAAGTATTTAATGTGTTGCTTTTCCTTAAAGTTGCTCCCTGATGTTTATTTCCGTAACACGGAATGTGTTTTAGGACAGCTGTCAAATATAAAGTTGCTTTCACTGGATATTTTTGTTGTTGATAGTGTAGATTAGATACGTAAAGATATGAACTATTTGAAGTAATTGCCTTATCTCAAAAAAATTAATTAATCAAAAAGACAGTTTCTGGAAGTTTTTTTGGACTATTTTAAGAAGACCCCATTATTATTATTAATAATATATAAAATTATATTTTAGTAACTCTAGCAAATAACTATTGTACGTTGGAAATTCTAGTCTCCAAATTGGCATAAATTACTGTGGTCATATTTTTATATTTTTCCTGAACCTGGAATATTTTTATATTTGAATATTGTGAGATAATCAACTCTTCTGTGATAGTACAACAATGTAGCCTATAATCAACCATACGACTAGATCTGTAATATAATTTTTTGATGTATTCAACAAAATTAAGTTAAGATTTTTCTTTCTTTATTTACAGTTAATTTTGAATTTGACATTTGATGGCCACACCCATAATTATTCAGATAAAAGTGTTGATTGATAAATGGATGGCATGCTGTATTTTTTTATATGGTTGTAAAAAAAACCTTATAAGGGTAAAAATAAAATGCCCCTGAAAACCACAAGTTAATATCTTACGCTGCTTCCCACTCATTGTTGATAAGAAGTGATTATCCTGTGGTTCAGTGCACCTGAACTTGAGTTCGTACACATAGCGTGATAATGTTGAATGGCACTGGTGTGGATTCTTTCCAGGTGTCACCCTCAACTACAGTAGACTATGTGTGTCAAACTCGCATTCTTGTTTTAATAGTTCTCATCTTTACTTAAACTTGCAATCGAGGGAAGGTTTCTGGAGTAACAGCAGTGATTGTACATGTAAGGGTTGATTTGTCCTCAGATGAACTGTGTACATTCACAATTGTTAGGCAGATGTTAGGCAGATGTGCTCTTGTTAAAATGACTTACAGGAAAGTGCATGATGCTTTAGGAGATCAGTTTGGCAATGCAAGTTAGGTAATGTAACATCACATCAGTGAACCTAATAAAAATGATGAGACTCCTGGTTTGTGTAAAACTACACAGCAGAACAATGTGTAAAACAAAAATGAGAAAAGAATAATAAGTGCTTTCATCTAAGCTGTGTGTGGGTGTGTGTGTTTGAGAAAGTTGTGAAACCGTTATTCCTTAAATTCTCAAGAAAACCTTGACTAGATTTCTCCAGCGTACTTTATTCTGATTGAAAACACATGGATAGTTAGGAAGTGATTTATAAGGTTTCAAAAGGATAGTGGTTTTAAAAGAGTTTGGAAAGTTTTTCTATAAGTCTAGAGTTGTCCTTTAACTCCATGCGACGTGCCTTTAACTGATTATTTTATTGCTTTAATTGGTCCAAATAGTTGAAATAGTTAAAGACAACTAGTAAAGTGGGACAACTAAACTTAATCTTGTATCATTATGTATATTTTTTCACTTTTAAACAATACGCATTAAGTACTGCTGTCAAATTGATTAATTGCATCACACATAAAAGTTTGTTTATATATATATATATATATATATATATATATAAATGGATGTGTGTGTGTTTATATGTATGTATGTGTGTGTGTGTGTGTATATATATATATATATATATCACACACACACACACACACACACACACATTATATATTTACAAACTTTTAATCACGATTAATGAATAAATTTGACAACACTACTATTTATAAAATATTATAGTATGTATCAATATTTTGAATTAGCTTTTACTTTTGTTTAATGTTCATTTTGGTTTAAGTTTTAAAGGGATTGTTCACCCAAAAATGAAAATTTTGTCATCACTTACTCCCCCAAATTGTTCCAAACCTGTATGAGTTTATTTCTTCTGTTGAACACAAAATAAGATAGTTTAAGGAGTATTACAGGTAGTAAGTAACCAGACAGACACTGACTTCCATAGTAGGAAAAAATGACTAAAGAAATCAATGGCTACCGTCAACTGTCTGGTTACCAAGTTTCCAACATTCTTTTAAATATCTTCAGATGATGCTAAGTTAGTATAGTATTACAATGATTTAGCCATTTGGATCATATTTTTAAAATAACAAATAGCCAATAACAAACAATCGTTAAGTGTCCCTAAATGATCCCCATATGTTAGATATGGAAGCCTGTTTCACTTAAAAGTAAACAATAAAAAAGTTAGAAATAAATTCGCAAATACCAGATGTAACAAATGAGGTGTATTGTGTTTATTATCGATATGGTTACTTTCCAACCCTGTGGACCAAACCGTGTTTGTGCTTGTGTTTCTCAGAGTTGGATATCTTTGGCATAGTCCTCTTCTCTGTGCTGACTTTAATGGCCACGGTGTCTATGCTGGTTTTCATCGAAGAATGCATCTACATCTATAAGAAAGTACCGCCAAATAAGAAAAGCATAATCATCTGGGTAACCGGAGCAGCACCAGTGAGTTCTATCAATCAATCAATCATTTGTCCTATCTGTAATGTCCCTCCCTGTCTTCTGGTGTGTTTTTTTTTTTTTACTTGCCTAATAAGAACTAACATGTCAAATATGAGTTTTGTCTGTAACCCACCCATATGGAAACTGAGGCAATGGTACGGTTAGTCATTTATAGTGCGTGACTGCCTGGATGAGTGATTATGAGTCTTAAGTTCATCTTGGCTTCTGGGGCATTATGTTTATCTCTCTCTTTTTCAGGTCATTGCTACCATGTCTTGTTTGGGCATGTGGGTTCCTAGGGCCACGATGTTCACTGATATGACATCAGCCACGTGAGTTCACCATTAGTGCTCTACTTTTGTCCAGTGTAGTAACTGTAATTCTGTAAACCATTAGTAACTGTAATTCAGTTTTGGTTTCACTTTTCAGAAAGTACTTACTGTCCCAGATATATTGTAGTGTGTATGGAACTTTGAATTGGATTTGTGGGTGTGTGCAAGTGAGACACACAAAATCAGCTAGTTATAACATTAAGATATCTCTGACTCAATTGGCAGATACTTTGCAGTTGTGGTCTTCAAGTTCCTGATTCTCATGATTGAAGAGGTCGGAGGGGATGATGCTTTTCTCAGGCGCTGTGAGAAACAGTCGTTTAAGATCAGCACAGGACCTTGCTGCTGCTGCTGCCCATGCCTGCCTAATGTCCCCATCACACGGTAATCAAACCTTAAAGTGCGCTTGCCGTCAGACCGAAGAGGATTTTACCTGTGCAAAAATCACTACCACAATGCTATGCTGTTGGGGGTGGTTGCTAGGGTGTTGCTAGGGCATTTTAAGTGTTCTAGGAGTGCATCGCAGTGCAGTTGCAAGGGTGTTTTGGGTGGTTGCTAGGTGATCGTTTATTGGCCCAAATCAAAATAGCCAATTCTAAAGTATCTATGACAGTCAGGGCCCACTAGGGGGCCTCAAGATGACTTAAAAGTATTTAATATAAGACAAATCTTAAAAACTCCATGGGTGTTTTTTCATAATGAATACATTTTTCTAGTTATGCCAGGCTCTAAAATATTTTATCAGGTAGAAATTGATTTAAAACTAATGGTTTTTAAAAAGGCTTTAGTAATTTTGTTGTTTTTTTATCATAGTTTTATATAGTTTTTATTGGAAAAAAAAATCAGTTTTACTTTATTTTAGTACATAGTTACTAAGAACACCTCTAATAATTTGGTAAATTCTTAGTAGCCTGTATAGAAATAAATGAATCACTCATATTAACTGAATTGCACCTATATCTTACTAACAAACATTAAAATTGGAATCTGGAATTTTGGCCAGTTTGCCATCCAATGACCATATCTTCGACTGAATGTCAACAGGATGAGTACACCTCTGGCCATTCAACTCTTCTGCAAATATGAGGTCTTTATCATGCTTAGTGCATAACTTAAAATGGGCACCTCTGGGCCATTGCACCCTTTGCTATCTGGAAGAAAGGAGTAGTTTGTGGCTCCTGGAACCATTGGCTTTATCAGTGTTATGTAAGACTTCCATTATCAAACTCAATGTAAACAGTTGAATGCAATATAATCCTACTTCATGAGATGCCTGTGGGTGGGATCATGTGACCTGGAAAAGATTTTTTATTTATTTTTTCAAAATGTGCCTTGATTTTTCAGACGATCTCTTTTTATATTGAAACTGGGGTCCTACCAGTTTGCACTCATGAAGTTAGTCTTCACCATCCTCTCTATAGTCCTTTGGACGAATGGCAACTTTAATTTATCTGATGTAAGTATAGACTGTGCTGTGCAAGTAATTTAATAGCTAATTTTATATATGAATTTGAGAAAGACTTGCAGAGTGTCTCTTTCTCTGGTCTGTAGGTTTCGGCCACTGGAGGAGCCATATGGATAAACTCATTTGTAGGCATTCTCACCATTATTGCCCTTTGGCCTGTTGCAATCATGTTCATGCATGTGCGAGAGGCTTTACGCACCCTAAAAATTATCCCTAAATATGCCATGTATCAGGTATGTGTGTGTTTTGTACTTATTCCTTATATTTTAGAACATTATTGATATTCAGTATTGCTAGAATTAATTACGGCTGGGTAAAAATATAGATTTCTGTATTTTAATGAACCGATATCGATTCTTAAAGCTGCAGTCCGTAACGGTTTTTTTTGTGTTCAAAATTTACAAACTTTATATAATAAGCGAGTACATCATGAATCTATTTTCCAAACCATGTTTTTGCCTTTTCCTGAATCACTACTGTACACCTATATAATAATAAGTGTTTATATTCAAACGATTTTAGACTGGTTTGGGTCGTACCGCTGCGGGGTAGCCCAGTACCTGCATGACTCGTCATATACATAAACTGAGAGAAGTAGCTCCGGATAAAATTTTCTTCTGGAAGACGCACGCTAGAGTGCCAAAAGTTACGGACTGCCGCTTTAAATCATAAAAATCAATCTTTTAGTCCATGCTGTTTTCAGTTGACGAATAAACAGAACATTGTAGCACACCTGCTATCCAATAAATCGCAATAAGCTTTGTGCTTTGTTACTTTTGATATGAAACAAATTCTGCCCATTTTATAACAACATTCAAACACCGCTGTTTCGTTTTTATGACAGTTACCTTTGAAATGTTTATATTTCAAAAACTTAATTGGAGTAGATACATAATTATGTAATTATAAAGTTAGTATTATTTATCTTTATTATTATAAAAACTTCCTTGCGTGTAATTTAAGTGTTTGTATAGATTGTACAGTTTGAATAAATCAGTAAATTTTAACTGTCAATATTTGTAATGTTGTACCTGACTCCATGTATAGTTTACATTAGTTGATTTTTTTTTTCTTAAGAAAATTGGTCATGTATTGTACCTGATATATATATCGAATTGCAAACTTGTGAATCAACATCGAATCGAATCTTCGTAAGATTTGTGTCAGTACCCAGCCTTAGAATGAATGTTGCCTATGATTCATCAATTATATCTGCCCGTAGTTGGTGCTGATTCTTAGCCAGCTGCAAACTGCCATCATTAACATACTGGCAATGAACGGGACTATTGCCTGCGCACCACCCTACACCTCCCAGACCCGTGGATACTGTGAGTACCGCCATGTTGCAGAACAAAACACAACAATCCTCTTAAATTATCATAGAGCACAGGACTTTAAGGGGTAGTTCATCCCAAAATTAAAATTCTGTCATGTAAAACCTGTGAGTTTCTTGTGTCTTCTGTGAAATGCAAAAAGAGATGTTTAGCAGAATGAGCTGCTCTCTTAATGAAAGTGGATGGGGGGCCCAGGGTTTGTCAAGCTCCCCAAAACATCATAAAACTATCATACAACTAATACAACCTGTGAACTTTATTTCAAGTATTTAAGTAGATTTTAAGTCATTATTCTGTGATAATCTTATTGGTAGCCATGGTCACCATTCACTTTCATATATGGCATTCTACTGTAAATAACTCATTTTGTGTTCCACTGAAAAAAGAAAGTCATATGAGTTTCGAAAGACAAAAATACCTTTTCATTTTTGTTTAACTTGTCTACACCTACAGTATAAAGAGAGTCTGGTTTTCATGGTTCTCAAAAATACACTCAATTTCTTTTCACAGTGATGAGTCAGCAGCTGTTGATCGTGGAGATGTTCATCATCACGCTAGTGACCCGTGTTTTATATAGACGTCCGTATGACCCCATACCAGATGCGGATTATGTTGAGGAGACAAAGACTGTCCTAACTGCAAAAGATATTGCCTGAGAAGAACAGACTGTTGTGTGTGTGAATGAGATTGTGTTATATATTTGGGGCCTTGTCATATATTTGGGGGGGGGGGGGGGAGTAGTCAACAATGATGGTCATTAACTTTGTATTTTCTATATGCATGTACATGCTATATCTAATATTTTGGTAGATATGTTTTATATTGAGGTTACTAGTCAGCAGAATTTGACTGTATAGTCAACCATGACTTTGAGGGCCCTGATATTGATGTTTACACTTTGTATTGGGTGCGTCAACCTGGAGATTTACATCAAGTTTCTGTTCTTATTTGGAATGCTTGGTCTGTTGATAGGACCACAAAGCATAATAAATCTCGGGAGTCATGGTGCACATTTCTGATGAAGTGAGATAAAGTAATCTCTATGGCACAATGATATGCTGCATAAAAGACTTTTGGAATTGTTTAAAGGTCAGGATTTGTTTTTGTTGCTAAATTGTATGTCGCTATATATTACCCTTGTAAAATCTGTCACTTCATATCGTTGAATATAGATTTTTACAGTAATCGTGTTATTTGTCTGTTGTTGTTATTGTTAAATTAAACTATAAAAAAAGATTGAAACTAAGCTGAAATAAAATATAAATATTAAATGAAAAACTTAAACTTAAAAAAATGACTAAAACTGAAATAATAATTTAAAGCTATATATATATATATATATATATATATATATGTGTGTGTGTGTGTGTGTGTGTGTGTGTGTGTGTGTGTGTGTGTGTGTGTGTGTGTGTGTGTGTCAAAGGCTAATGTGGAAATAAGACAATCAAAGCTAATTCAAAATGTTAATAAATACTATAAGTAGCCTATAAATAATACTAAAAGAACACTGTGTGCACACACACACACAACTGAAAAGCAACACAATAAATGTAAATGCAAACTTTGGCCTTTTTATGCTCAACTTTTCAGTTGGTCAGACTGGGAGACCAGCTAAACCATTCTAAATCAGTTAAGACCAGCAGACCAGATAGGCTGGTTTCATTTTTCTTTTACTGCAGGGTAGTTTTTTATGAACAAATAATGTCATGTGGGTGAGTCTCAAAAATAATAATAAATAGAAAAAAAGGTAGGCTAGTAATAAATTGGTGGGTATCAGGATGACAAACACAAAATGTAAATACACATAAACGTCATTTAAAACAACAACAACAACAACAACTTATACCCGCTGTTCTGCAACCTAACTGCCAATAGAGAGGTGTTTATTCAGGAAAATAAATAGACCAATCATATAAAGCACAGTCTTTTTTCCGGGCTCTTCTCAGCAAATCACAGTGCTCGCTGTTTAAAATCATGGTTGGTTGTGTGTTCGCTCCTTCGCTCTTGTGTACGTGCTGTTTAGCGCAACAGTGGCCGTGCTAGAAAACACAAGACACTGACATTTAATGCAGTGGCCTGTTATAATAATAATATGAAACGGAGGTAAATATTCGGATACGGATGTTGCTGTCTACTCTACTCTTTGGACGATCCCTGCCATGATCCCAATATAAAGAACAGCCTTGCCTCGTCCGTTTCACATTTTCCCTCACAATGAGACTGTACGCATTTCTTCTGAATAACCATTTACCAAAGATAGAATATTATTCAAGGTTTTCACCATCGCCCTTGTCAATTAAACAGTTTCTGGAATTTGGTAAGTGCGAGCGCATCCATCACATGCACACTGACAAACAGACACTGCAGCGGAACTTGTTACGTTTAACGTTAATTCAGCATGATTGTCGATCGTCTCATAAAATGCTTTTATAACCTTTTTATATATAATATTTATATGAACGCTTTTTTAATATATATTGTTTTAGTGTTAATCTGTCCTGATTGTAAATGCGACAAATGATGTGATCTGATAAACAAGAACTTTGTTTAGTTGGAAAACATTCGACGTTTGTATTTTGTATTATTGAGGTAATGGTTCTGTTTTTTATGACTGTACAAGGCATGTCATCTAATGACTTTCAAATGACTTTTTTTTTTAAACCCAGAGATTGTTGGGTTGCCATGTATGCCTATAAATTTTGCCAACCTATATGTCCTTCAGATTTAATTTATGTTATTTGCTGACGTTTAACTATTTGCATATTATAATGATATTAAATATAATTATAAAAATATAAAATAGTTGTCCGTTAATCTAACTGTATTCCTTCTAAGCAAAAGGGATGCTTTTGAATGCACGTAAGTGTGTGATATGAATAATATATTGACTACACCTTGGTGAGTCAAACGCAAAAGTTAGTCAGAATAAATAGTTTTTAATGGATAGTTCACCCAAAAATGGCATTTACTCCTATTTTGTCCTAAACACTATTACTTTCTTTTTTCCGTGGAACAATAAAACTTTTCATTTTGGGTGAAAGGTCCACTGAACAATCACATTGATAGCACAAAAGGGACTGTCATAATGGCAATGTGTCAGAAGAAAGGCTTATGCAACAAGGATAATTATGGTATTATTTACAACCTAAAATAAATGATTATAGGGATAGTTAAACCTGCTTGTGATGTTTCAACTAACACATATTGGTGGACTCTGAAGGCCTACACCAAGAGTCCATATTTGTCAAATAAATTAAGTCACACTAAGTCCATTTTATTTGTATAGCACTTTTCACAAAGCAGCTTTATAAAAAATCGGCAAATCGTTAAAGTCGGCATAAAATGGAAGTTGTGATAGTCTTTTCTGCGCTATTGTGACGGTAAATCCGAGTGAAACGAGTTCTCAAACAAGAAAAAATGTAGGGCGGGACTTGATTTTGTCCATCGGGAATTAATTGGATCTTTGTATAGTTGTCGTTCGCTATTGCTGCGATCTCATATGAGTGACAGGTTGATCCCGCCCTCATGCCAGTAAACATGTCATCAGAGAGGAGGTGTTGATTTTCAGATCATTTTACAAGGGCACATGGATTTTTAAAAAAAATAATCATGTGCACGGATAAATAATTTATTATAAATATTGCAATATTCCAAAATATTTTGGACTTTGGACTTTAATGTTTGTGGTATCTTAATATCTTCATTACTTATAGTTGCATTTTCCGGAGTAGAGCTAATGTAGATTCCATTTTGCGATGACATAAACAATCAAGTAGTTGCTATTTAATATATATCGCTTTAAATTTAAAAAAAAATTGGCTTACGTTCAGCCTGATTAATGAGTTATTGTTCAGTCCTATGCAGGTTTCTCAGGTTTCATGTGTGGATGATGATAAAGCATTTTTTTTTGTTGCTTTCCCCTCCTGCATTCGCAGTTGTTTATGTTTCTGGATGCCTGATTTTCAGGTAGGGACAATGCATGTGAGAAGACGTCTTACATGTTCCTGCGGAAGGAGCTGCCGGTGCGCTTGGCTAACACTATGAGAGAGGTCAATCTGCTGCCTGACAAGCTCCTCAGTCAACCTTCAGTCAAACTGGTGCAGAAATGGTGAGTATAAATGAGTTTGAATCGGATTACATGCATGCTTCATTGAAGCCTGTCCTGAGCTGTGCCGAATCTCTCCACAGGTACATGCAAAGTTTTTTAGAACTTCTAGAGTTTGAGAACAGGAAGCCAGAAGACCCACATGCCCTGAATGAGTGAGTAGGACTTATGTTTTTTTGCTTTTTGTGAGACATCTAGATAGTCTTGTTTTTCAGGCTGTTGCATGGCATGTTATTATATTTTCATGCGAGGTGAATTCAGGCTAGAGTTTACAACAGAGGAATCAGTAACTGAAAGCCGCCCTGACAGAGCAAATATGCATGCTGGGTCAGCGAAAAACGGAGAAAAAATCCTACTCGCATACCATTTCTACATACAATGGCATTTATTATTGATACAAACTACTGTAAATGATCTGAATAATGGACGATCTGTGAAGACCTCGTCGACTAGACAGCCTGACTAGGCACAGATGCTCATCGAACGTCAAGCGAACCAGACAAGTCCTAAGCACAGACTCTATGGCCAGCTTCAACTCCTCCCTCCATATGCTGGCGTGATATTCTGGATGATACCAATCCACAATCTGACTTGTGATACAGCCTGGAATTAAACCACACCATGTTTGTTCGTCTGGCCAGAGAAGAACTGGTTTTCTCCCAAGGTTTTTTTCTCCATTTCTGTCACCGATGGAGTTGGGGTTCCTTGCCACTCGTCTTTTGCCTTGCTTAGTTGGGGCAGTAAATATTCAGCAATATTATTGACTTTGAAATCACTGTTTTCTCCAGATCTGCTTTATAGATGAAACTGAACTCATTCCATAATTTTACACAGTTATTGAACTCAACTGAATTAACACTGAACTGATTAACTGAATAATGACTGTTTAACTATTCTGTGTTTCTGTATAACAAAATGTGTTTTCTAAACTTCTGTACCTATAGCTTCTTGGAGACTCTTATTGAGATCAGGAATAGACACAATGATGTGGTCCCGACCATGGCCCAGGGTGTGATCGAATATAAGGAGAAGTTTGGCTTCGATCCGTTCGTCAGCTCCAACATCCAGTACTTTTTGGACCGCTTCTACACCAACCGAATCTCCTTTCGCATGCTCATAAACCAGCACAGTACGTCACCCAAAAGAAAGACAGTCACCAGATATCGGGCATCAGCTTTTCATCAAGTTTTATCGTAATTGCTTTTATCTTTATTACAGCTCTCCTTTTTGGCAATGACATCAACCCAGCCCATCCCAAACACATTGGAAGTATTGATCCCAACTGCAATGTTGCAGAGGTGGTGACTGGTAAGTTTGCTTTTATTTTATTTTTTGTTCTGTTAAAAAGTTTGACGTCAGTAAGATATTTTTTTAAAATAAATGAATATTTTATTCAGCAAGGGCATATTAAATTGATCAAAAGTGACAGTTAAGACAATTATGTTACAAAATAATTCTTTTTCAAATAAATGCCGTTCATTTGAACTTTCTATTCATCAAAGAATCCTGAACAAAAAAATGTATCCGTTTCCACAAAAGTATTCAACAGCACAACTGTTTTCGACATTGATAATAATAAGAAAGTGAGCAGCAAATTAGCATATTAGAATTATTTCTAAAGGATCATGTGACACTGAAGACTGGTGAAAATGCAGTTTTTCCATCACAGGAATAAATTACATGGAAAATATATTAAAATAGATAAAAGTTATTTTAAATTGTAATAATATTTCACAATATTGTTATTTTTACTGTATTTTTGATCAAATAAAATGCAGCATTGGTGAGCATAAAAGACTTATTTCTTTACCAAACCCCAAACTTTTCAGCAATAGTGTAGGAAATGCTTGGAATCTTTAGTTTGGATTTTGTTCTCTACTGATCAAACGCGATTTTGTTTTCAGATGCTTACGAGACCGCCAAGATGGTGTGTGAGCAATATTATCAAGCTGCCCCTGAACTGAAGACAGAGGAATTCAATGGTACTTTTTCTTTTTGTTCTCTCACAAAACTCAATATATAATGTTTGTGTCAGAGTTAATTCATTTCTAATTCATGTAACTCAATTTCTGGAGTTAGCATTTTTCAAAATTGCTATAAATATTTAACTTTTCTGTGCAGCTAAGGCTCCTCAAAAACCCATCCAGGCTGTGTATGTTCCCTCCCACCTATTCCACATGCTGTTTGAATTGTTTAAGGTATGTATGCACACACATGCATATTGAATTGGATACATCAAAGTGCTGGCATCTGTTACGCAATTCAATTTTCAGCAGCCCTCATCTTTGTGCCTTTCCCAAGGCCCTGACGTATTGCTGTAACAGCTTGTGTTTGTGTTTTCAGAACGCAATGCGGGCCACCAATGAGCTCCACGAGGGTAGTAAAGAGGGTCTTCCTCTTATAAAAGCAAAAGTGACCCTGGGGAAGGAAGATCTCTCTGTGAAGGTCAGTTTGTTCGCGAGTCCGTTTTCTACATGTACAAATGACATGCCTTGATCCTAAACTTCCTGTTATTTTCATCATAGATCAGTGACAGGGGAGGGGGTGTGGCTTTACGGAAGATTGACAGGTTGTTCAACTACACCTACTCGACTGCACCAACACCCAGTCTGGGCTCTAAACGCGTGCCATTGGTAAAAAAGAAGTGTGGCTACAGTATTCTTACAGCAACAAACTTCATCGTGTCATCACTTAGTCACCCTTAATTGTATACGAACCGCTAGTTTGACTTTTTGACTCTTGGGCTTTCAAACTCTAAAAGGACACAAAACACCATGTATTGAAAATGACTTTAAATTGTCTTTTGAAGTCAAGCAGACCCAAATTTAAGTTGTTATTTGTCAATAATCTTCCATTCTACACTGCCACTCTTAAAGGGATAGTTAACCCAAAAAGGATAATTCTGTCATCATGTACTCACCCTTATGTTGTTCCAAACCTGCATGAGTTTCTTTCTTCTGTTAAACACAAAATTATTATTTTTTATAGAATGTTAGTAACCAGACAGTTGACTGCACCCATTGACTTCCATAGTAGGAAAAAAAATACTATGGAAGTCAATGGGTGCCTTTAACTGTCTGGTTACCAACATTCTATAAAAAAAATCTTTTGTGTTCAATAAAAGAAAGAAACTCATACAGGTTTGGAACAACATGAGGGTGAGTAAATGATGACAAACTTTTCATTTTTGGGTGAAATATCTCTTTAAATCTCGTTTGTTCATCCACATATTCAACCTTGCTATGTCACAGTCATTCAAGTGACAACAAGGCATCAAACCTGGCATTTTTTATTTTAATATCATTTCAGTCTGTTCCTCAATGAAAGCTATTGTATTATTTCAGTACCAGTGTTGAAAGAAAGTAAGCAATAAAGGTTTGGAACGACTTGAGGGTGAGTAAATGATGACACGATTTTAGGTGAGCCATCGAACTTTAACCTTGAATAGCAGCTCTAAATGTAGCATTGTCCTCTGTAACCTGATCTCCATGCGTCTGTAGGCTGGTTTTGGACATGGTTTGCCGATATCCAGACTGTACGCCCGCTACTTTCAAGGAGACCTGAAACTGTACTCAATGGAAGGCGTGGGGACCGATGCCGTCATCTACTTGAAGGTAACAGCAGCTCTCAATTTGCACTTTAGTTAATCGTTTCACTGATAGGTTTTCAATGACATCCACCCCATCACCTTCTCTGACCAGGCCCTCTCCAGTGAATCATTTGAGCGTCTGCCCGTCTTTAACAAATCTGCTTGGCGACACTACCAAGGAGGCCCAGGAGCGGATGACTGGAGCAACCCGAGCAAAGAGCCCAGAGATGCCTCAAAATACAAGGCCAAAAGATAATTGCACTCACCCCATCCATGTGTCCCACTGCACCCATTACAGACCTTTCCGTCTTTAGTCTAGCTTCAGTTGCCATGGCAACATCACATCGATGCTGAGTGTTCTATACTTGTTAGCATTTCCAGAGCAGAACATCTGATGATGCAAGTGGCATTAAGTCTCTGCTCCTTCCTCCTTTGTGCAGCTACAGACGTAAGACACAGAGTCTCGATTAAGCGTCTTCCAGGGTGGTGAGAGGAAAGGGTGAGCATTTGTGTCCAGGGTGTAAGATGCTTTTTTTTTTTTATTGTGCCACACAGTAGCTCCCCTGTTTCATTTTCTATAGCAGTCAGAGAAGGAAGTCTGGAGTTTGAGATGGTCAAAAAAAGAGCATTTCTTTCACTGCCATTCAAACATTCGCAGGCAATAGAGAGAGAGAGGGGGGAAGAGAGAGAGAGAGAGAGAGACAGTTTGTCCTCAGTTTCTGTGGCTTCCACTATGATTTTCTTGGCAGTGAACTTTGGAGAACCACTTTGAAAAGGCTGAGGAGAAACTCAAAATCTCATGAAATCTCAAACTTGTTGAGGTTATTTTCACCCCCAAATTAAAAGAAAGAAAAATGTATATTTTGCATAAAGAAAATGAAGCTTTGTAGTATAATTAGTATACTACTGTAGTACAATATACTAAATGTACTATAGTACTTTGTAGTACAATAATGTAGTATATTTAAATAGTAATTTAAGTTATTATATTGCATTATATATATATATATATATATATATATATATATATTATAAATAATATATGTAATAAATATAAGTATAAGATAACTACATACATAAATAACACAAGTAATACATATATTATGTGTATATGTATATATTAGTGCTGTCAAATAGATTAATCAAAATGTATAATGTGTGTGTATGTGTATATTTTTTATGTTTGATGCGATTAATTGTGATTCATCGATTTGACAGCACTCACAATAATATAGTTCCTAGTTCTGTTATATTTATAACTAATCTATAATCTATATTTATAAATTCAAGTTATTTAAAAAAAAAAAAAAAATTATGCTGATTTTAATTGAAAAATGCAACTGAGAATTTAAGGAACAACACGTGCTTAGTTCTCATGAAAATATTACAATGCAAACAATTTCAGTGGTCCTAAAAATAATTTTCTTAATGCAAAATCATTCTTAATTTTTTTTTTCTTTTAATGTTTTAGGTGAAATGTGAGCAGGACATTTCCTCGTTAGATGCGCCCAAATGTTTTTGGGCTCAGGGAGTATGCTGATGAACTGATGTTTCCAAGCATGCAGGAATGCACTTTTAAACACATCAATGTAGTTTCAAACATGTATTTATTTATTTATTTGACCCCAATTTATTTAGCATTCCCCCCCATAACTCTGAGCTGGGCCTCAGTCTTTAACTGCGAGTAGCAGAAGTACATCTCCTACATTAACTTATAGGTCAACAATACAGAGCTTCCTACTAATGTAAATGGTGAAAGACTGTGATAAACTTTAAAGAAGAATGCACCACAATAGCCTATTATAGCATTAGTGCTATAGTCATTAATTTGTTTGTTTTTTTGTCTTGTAAAAGCAGATACTGCTTTCACGACATTATGGCCCCTGCATGGTGACATTTGATAGTTGATAGAAAGATATTTGCAGACTTTGATGGACCAGACAGTTTAGATGTTTAGATTTCAGCAGCATGTGATTGAGAGAGAAAATGCATAGCTAGATATAAACTCATTTAACTCCATGAAATGGCTGACTTTTGAGATTTTTAGCTTAATTTATTTTTATTATACCACTACCTCTCAGTCATTTCTTGTTTTCTAGAGAACCTCATCTTAAAAGAATTCCTGACATGGATACGATTTGGGACCGTTTGAGTGCATTGATTCTTTGACATTAGATGAAATACAGGGCAGCGTGTCTGGTTTACAGGAACCAATGCTTAACTACAAGCGTAACTTTGCCCAGGCTAGTAAGTTTGTCTGTTACCCTGTCATTGATCCCTTAAAATTATTATTTTGTACGCACAAGTATATTTAGGTGAACCTGAATGATATTTATATAGTTGCTTTTTGGAAACTCCATAAGATGAACATTAGTTTGTTCATTATCACTTTGTGTTTTTACTGCAACACTCCAGGATGAATCTCACGAAACCGGTCAAGAACACGTCTGAATCATATTTCATCCTAAAAAAATTATTCTGCATAAAAGAAAAATAAATCCTATTTTTACAATGAGATTTCTTTGCATTACAGTACTTGAGAATTGAGGAATAAAATCTCTTAAATTCTCATGAAAATAGTATTACGGTTCAAAAGACCTTAATGGTCCTAAAGTAGACTTTCCTCTTTAATATGATTGATATTTGAAATATGATATTTCCCCATGCTGTTGTTTTATACAGACCAATTGTCCGATATCTGTCAGCTGATGTTCTCTTACTGTTCCACATGTCATAATCTTTCCATAGAAATCATAAAAAAACCATCTACATCTGTCTTAATGCTGGTTTGGGGCTCTCGTGAGTCCTCAAGGGAACTTTTTTTTGGTGACGAAGTGCATACAGTACCTTACATTTTCTCATGTTATTGAAGTGTAGATTTCAGTATTTATTTAAAAATATTTTTAAAATGATTTGTTAGTTTTTATGTCAATGAAGAAAGCACTTTGATGCCTTGAATTCAGAGCGTTCAGAAGAGCAGACTTAAGTATGCAAGCATTTCCTGTGAAACCAAGCCTTGTCGTCGTCAAGCTCAAATAGTCTTTAATTTTGCTAGTATACTTTCGTTTATGCATGCGCACGGTCTGTTCATGCACAACACATTAGGAAAAACTTTTACCTACAATGAAATATCTTACCTGATATTCTAGTGTTGACATACAACCATCTTGAATCTGCAAAATGGACATTTTTGTGTGACTATTGTTGTTTTTTGGACTTGTTTTCTCGTTCTTCTCAAGTAAAACACCACTGCTTATAGTTAAATGCTGTTTGAAACAAAATACAAAATGTGTTAGATGATTTTGTGTGAGGCTGACATTCACACATAAATCATCATGATGAAGATATTGATCTATTGACATTCCATAAAGTACTTATATAAAAGAAGAACAATAAAGAGATCTTCCAGTACTATCATTCATTTTGTGTACTTGAATTTGTAATGAATCTCATAGCTGGCAATTGTTCTTTTTTTCAGTTTATTATTTACATTTTAAGCTAGTTTTAATGTAAAAGAAAACATATACAAACCAAATAAAGACAATTTTTACAAAGTACAGATTATGTAAATTGACGTGACTCTTGCATACATATAATGGCATAATTAGACAAGACGGGAGGAATTACATGTAAATTGAGCAGCACAGATTAATGTGATATCCCTCATTTTCTTTCATTTTATTACCATTTATCTAAAAGCTACTAGACCTTTTGGCTGTTTTATTCTTAAGACCATTCTTGATCGTACCACAACATGTGCAAAGAAATTGCTTTATTTTGTGGTAAAAGCTGCAGTAACACAAGTTAATGACTGTTAATGAGAATTAAACACATTCATGCACAGACAATTTAGTGAATGCTAGCGGCCTCCTCATTGGTGCACTGATACATATTCATGAGGTGGATCGGACATCATTTTTCTTGAAAACAAGGAACAGGGATTGGTGTATGTACAGTATGTTACAGTAGGGCAGTCCTGAGCAATACACGACAGAATCAGTCCTCATCCTTTTAAACATTTGGGGTGAATTCACTAAAGTTGTGGCACTTTTGCTCAGTATTTCAGTGCAAAAATCGGTGTCCATTTCACAAACCGCACTTTTTTTGGCCACTACTCTGTCATTAACCTAATTAACGTAAACTTAAAATAAGCAAATAATAATGTTTTCTTGTTATAACTGATACTAACTCTAATACTTCATTTTGTATATTTTTTATTTTGTCTAAATAAAAAAATAAACTAACATTATAATGTACAGTATGACAAATGGACATTTATTTTGAGATTTGCTTAAGATTACATTAAAGTTATGAAATTATTGCATTTAATATGAACTTTAAGTGTGTGTTAGATAATGACAAAGGTAATTTCAATTTAAAAACACAGGAATTGAGCACACACTATTAAATATCCAATAAATTCTAATATCATCATCATCAAAAAAAAAAAAAAAATATGTTATACTGATATCCCTGTTGATTTGCATTCATGTTTAGGGATTTGGGTGCGAAAAGCTCACACAGCGTGTTCAAATGTGGCCACAATTTATTCAGTGAATCCCCCTCTCTGTTTACTAAATCTCCTCTCAGGATCTGTTCAGGGCTGCAATGGCTTTTTTGCTGTAATACCAGCACAACTAAACAGGACTTCAACAACCCTGCGCTGTGTACAGTACTTTAAATTTTTCCCATGAGGGTAGTTGACCTGTCATTGCTGCCAGTGTGTGTTATGTATGAGACGTGTGAATGGGTAAAGTGCAGTCTATTCTGTGTGTGATGGGCCACTTTTCACTTCTCATCCTCGTCTCCCTCGCTCATGCTGCTGATGGAGGCTGAAGCACCCTTCGGGGACGAGGGCGGTGAGGTTCTGGGCATGGCCCAGCGGGAGGGGGGTGACGGAGAGCGGGATGGGGAAAATTCCCTTGGTGGGCTGTTGCTGGGTGAACCGCGCGGAGATAACGCCTGGATCATACGTCCACTGCGATCCTGAAACATCTGCTTCTGGAAAAATTAAAAGGTCATACTATATACATATACACCATTCAAAAGTTTAGGGTCAGCAGGATTTTTTTTTTTATTAAAGAAATTAGTTAGAATGATTTTTGAAGGACCACGTGACACTGAAGACGAGTAATGATGCTGAAAAATCAGCATTTTGAAATGTAATGAAATAGAAAATAGTTCTTTTACATTATAATAGTATTTCACAATATTACAGTTTTTACTATATTTTTGATGAAATAAATGACCCCTCTGTGAGGATAAGAGTCTTCTTTCAAAAACATTACACATTTTTACTGACCCCTTTTGAACGGTAAAGTGTGTATAAATATATATACAGTATATACAAATAAATACATATTTGCTTACCCATGTCCCATCTGGGCCGAATAGCTCCAGGAAGTTCCCAATGAACTCTCGTGATTTCTCCTCCCACTTCTGGATAAGATCATGGCTCTTCTCTTCCACTTTGTATACAAAGTGCTTGGACTT